GAACACACAAACTCCACTCAGAAAGGCCCTGGTCCGACCAGGATTTGAACCCAGGACCAAGATAGCAAGAAAACGCTTAAAGCTATATAAAGCTCTGCATATGGAAGATGACAATAATACAGATATCAAAGAGAGGTGGGAGAGTGAAAGACTTACACTTTATTGATCCACAAGGGAAATCTAAAAATAAGAAAATAAATTAAGAATAATAAGATATTTGTGAGGATAGAACAATCCGAAGTACTCAGGAATACATATCAGTGAATATGGACACATTTACAGTATGAAATAGTATACTATTATACATCTGTTAATATACAGAATAAGGACAAAGCAGATGTATTATCTGTCACAGAGCGGTGACTTGTTGAATAGCTCACTGTAAAACCCAACAGTACATCTTACTAAATAAAGTGAGTTACTCTAACTCAGTTCTGCTGAAAGGTCAATATAACCAAACCAACTGAGTTACAAAAGCCCAAAACTAAATATATGATGCATTAACTCATTTTTATTGAGTTTTATCCAATATGTATTGAAATGTATGCAACATTGTTGTTAATATTTTTGTTATACACACTTGCAAAAAGGTTTTATTTTTATGTATTTTTTATCAAGTACAAAACATGTTGCAATCTTATTTCAAAAATATAATGGGCACAGAAATGCAATAATTATGAGATACATAAGAATTATATGTTTTTAAACGTTTTACGTTTATTTTCCTCCTTAGATTCGGCAATTTCTAAAATGTTATCTTATTGATGGTCTATGGGGGAATCGAACCCCGGCCGCCAAAACGGTGAAGCTGAGCTCATCACGCTGAGCTAATCTATCGGTTGCAACGCAATCATTTCTTTATATATAAAAACTTTGTCAGATACAGAGTTGGTAGTACTATTTCATTATTTAAGTGGTTGATTGCATACATTTTATTGATTCAAATAAAACAATAATCAATATGTCTAATATCAAATATGTATTTGCTTTCTCTGACTACGCATGCGCAGGTGAGTGTGAACGCCCCTCTTGACTTTTCTTTTGCACACGGTCTTAACCTCGTCGTTCGGTCTTCAGAGGAAATGAGAGCGCACGTCGTGTCCGGACGACTTCACTCGGTAATTAGCACCACTTTACATAACTTTGATAGATTGTAATATGCCATAGAACCCGTGTAAAGTAGAGTTTAGTGAACGGATTTGAGTTTTGCTTAATATGCTTAGATAGGCACCGTTCCATCCCTGCTTATGACTTGGACCGGGTTTGCGCCATATTGATATCGCTAGCTAGTAGTGATGGGTTGATGAAGCTTCATGAAGTGTTGAACCTTTTCATCCATTGGTTCGAGAAAAGGTTCATTTCTTGATGCTTCATATGCTCACAAACCTCCTGTTGGTCAAAATCTGTATTGACAATTGAACTGTTTGTGAGGCTCTTGGTGCATAGGAATTAATACTGGTAACAGAAGTAATTTGATTGCGTATGACCCATTAATTAATCTGTTTCATTATGATCAATATCAGTAGTGAAAATGAATATATTTTAAATGAAAATAAAATTATAATGTACTGGTAACTGATACAGTTGTCTGCTCTAATACACACACACACACACATATATATGTAGATATATAATTATATACATATTTAATGATGAATGATTATAGCTTGTCAAGTCAAAATCAATGTTATAAATCCAATAGGACAAAAAACAAAACATGTTGAAAGTGTAAGTGATTTTCAAAGGACGTGACACAAATGGGGATATCTATAGAGATATCTCACGTGACGTCACGATGTCTCGAACCATACTGGAGGACAAGCAAACGCTGTATGATAGTGGCGTGCACCCGGGACCGCATACACATGTTCTAAATGTTTGCCGTTTTTGGCTGCAGCAAAAGGAGAGACAGGGAAAATAAGTTGTGTTACCGACTGCCAGCCGTCCTTACTTCACACGGCTCAAAAACAGAAGAAATCTCAAAGAAACGAGAGAGAAATGGCACAACCATAAGCAACAACAAAAAACTAATAGCCCCCAGAGCGCCCGAATATGCTCGGATCATTTCATTTCTGCTAAGTGAAATCAATTTGATGGCGGATTTAGTGTTATTCCGAAACAAACAGAAGTTTAAGGATAAAACATATCTGTCTGACTGCAACGTGGGGTTGCTCCATAGACTGTAGCTTAGCATAGCTGTTATATATTTGGTCTCACACAGGACCTCACCCGGTTCACAGGGTATCTGACTTACCGAAGGCCAGCAGACATGTGAACCACTGAGGTACTAGTATTTATTAATAAAATATACGGCTCCTCACAGTAGACGCAGAAAGCTCCATTGATTTGAATGTAATCTCATTATTTCCACTGCAGTGTAGCCACACATAGATCAATGGTGTAACAATAAACACATTAAATGTTAATCGGAGAATACATTATACATATACATTCTTAATACACGTGCACAGAGGTTTTTAGAATTTTCTGTTCACGTTTTTATGAAAAAACACTGTTTTAATGCGACAATATGCGACCGCGGTAAACCTGGATGTAACGATAAACATTAATAATACATTTTAGGATGCATTTTCAGAGGATCTGATTCATGACTTTAGGTTGAGTATATATTTGGGTCACTAACTGCTGAAGTTTCGAATTCTCTGTTCAGTTTTCATGTAGTTCGAGAGAGTTCTAGTTTTGAACGTCCAGTTATAGAGAGCTAGCAGGGCTGTTACTCGCCGAGGTTGTCCTCCAGTATGGCTGCCGTGGCTGCTAGTCACGTGACCGTAGGATCCCTCTATTGGAATTGTGACCCCATCAGTTGTTTAAAACCAAAACATTTCTGACAAAATTCTTTCATGTCAACGTGCTCCCTGTGAGATTCGAACCCCGGTCTCCCAGGTCCAAGCCCTGCTTCCCTATCAATGAGCCAACCAGCTGATACTACAGTACTCTCCATCACTGACTACATTAATCACCAAGACAAACACACAGTTTAAGCGGATCTTCTGCAGTACTTCATGAATCGCTCCATTTCCTGTGCTCCCGAGGCTTCAAACGTCATTGGTGACGTCATTCATCTAAAACAACTCAGGCTTCGGCCCGCGCTCCGATAAAAACATCAGGGATTTCTCGGCTCACGCCCCGAAGCGCCGACACGGCACGACCCATCACTACTAGCTAGTGCTACTATTGTTTTTTCTTGCCGAATGGCGCCTTTCTATTAAGTTTAAAGGAGCAACGACAGACATACATTAACGCAGGACTGTGTCAAAAGATTTGTGTGTAAACGAGAGACTGTTATTTACATACAAACAGATCTTTTACAGACACAAATGTTAATTACACACACACAAATCTGGGTACACACACACACATTTGGGTATACACCATTGACTGTAAATATACGTAGTCACGCCTATCTCCGCCGTTCTAACTTATGTGGCACCACTTCCGCAGTCTATGGGCAGTTTTCAAAATGGCCGCGGGGGCTGGAAAATGTGAAAAAACGCATCTGCGCATGTGTCAGCCGGCACGGGCCCCATTCATTTAACAAGTGCCTTCCAAATTTCACAGCGACTAAACTAGACTGGTCCAAAAAAAAATCCACCCCCCTCAGCATTGACACACATGTGGAGCGGAGCTTTGGGCCAAGAGCCAACTTTTGGACCATCCTGTAAAGACGTTTTTGAGAGGTCTGCCAATGCTATATGTTAGCATTGAATATTCGTATTCCGGTTTCTGGTATTGCAAGTATGTCAGCGCACGTCATTTTGGCCACTTTTGAGCCGGGACCCGCCCCCCACTGATATACATACAAATCTGGGTACGCGCACACAATCCAAGTTACACTTGCGGACCTTCCAAGGCAGGACTGTATCAAAAGATCTGTATCTGTGTGGAAAAAAAAGACTTGTGTGTAAACTGTAGACTTTTTTTTTCTTTACACACACACACAGATCTAGTTACACACACACACAGAGATCTAGTTACACACACACACAGAGATCTAGTTACACACACACACACAGAGATCTAGTTACACACACACACACACAGATCTAGTTACACACACACACAGAGATCTAGTTACACACACACACACACAGATCTAGTTACACACACACACACACAGAGATCTAGTTACACACACACACACAGATCTAGTTACACACACACACAGAGATCTAGTTACACACACACACACACAGAGATCTAGTTACACACACACAGATCTAGTTACACACATACAAATATTATTGAAACAATAACAGCTCCATAAGAATGGCTCTTTCCATTCCAGTCGTCTTACTATTACTATATTAATAAATAATAATAATAATGATAATAATAGATTATAATCATTATAATGATAATAATAATTATATTCAATAAAAACCCTGATGCCCTGCAGCTGTGTTTTCTGCTCCAGAAACTCTGTTCAGAGCCCGCTCTCTGATTGGCCGATCAGAATCATGTGACTGCGGCTTTGTCCACAGCATCAGAGTGACTATAAACCAGAGACCAGGACTGAACCAGGACAAAACCAGGTCTGAACCAGGACTAAACCAGGACTAAACCAGGACTAAACCAAGACTAAACCAGGACTATACCAAGACTGAACCAGGGCAAAACCAGGACTGTAAAACAGGTCTGAACCAGGACCGTACCAGGTCTGACCCAGGTCGGAACCAGGACTGAACCAGGACTGAACCAGGACTGAACCAGGACTACAACAGGATTGAACCAGGACTACAGCAGGATTGAACCAGGACTGAACCAGGAAAGACCCAGGTCTGAACCAGGACTGAACTAGGACTTAACCAGGACTGAACCAGGACTACAGCAGGACTGTTCCAGACTCAGGTTGGTTCACACCGGGGGGACAGAGCTTTCGGATCACTACTCCTGTATGGGCCTGTATCTTGTGTTTCTAAAGTGATGTGATGAGAACCATATAGACACAAATGGTGACCATCAGTTTATGTCACACTGTGATGTCATACAGGTTCAGCCAATCAGAGCACAGCAGCTCGTCTCCACAACGGTTACGCCGTCAGCGGCGGCGACACCGAAAGAAGAACGCTGGGAAGTCTATGGACCAGGTGAGCCTATGGACCGGGTGAGACTATGAACCGGGTGAGTCTATGGACCGGGTTAGCCTATGGACCGGTTTAGCCTATGGACCAGGTGAGTCTATGCACTGGGTGAGCCTATTTACCAGGTAAGCCCATGGACCAGGTGGGTCTATAGACCGGGTGAGTCTAGGTAACCCTGTTTGACCTGATCTGTTTATCTATTGGTTTAACCTGGTTTGGTCTGGATTAGTCCTGGTTAGTCCTTTTTTTCTGGTTTGGTCCCCGTTTGTCCTGGTTTGGTCGGGTCCGGTCTGGTTGGTCCTGGTTTTGTCTGGTTAGTCCTGGTTTGGTCCTGGATAGTCCTGGTTTGGTCTGGCTAGTCCTGGTTTTGTTCTGGATAGTCCTGGTTTTTCTGGTTAGTCCTGGTTTGGTCTGGTTAGTCCTGGTTTGGTCCTGGATAGTCCCGTTTTTTTCTGGTTAGTCCTGGTTTGGTCTGGTTAGTCCTGGTTATGTCAGAGTTTGGTCTGGTTAGTCCTGGTCAGGTTTGGTCTGGTTTGTCCTGGTTAGTCGTGGTTTGGTCCTGGTTAGTCCTGGTTTGGTCTGGTTAGGTCTAGTTAGTCCTTATTTGGTCTGGTTAGTCCTGGTTTGGTCCTGGTTGTGTCCGGGTTTGCTCTGGTTAGTCCTGGTCAGGTGTGGTCTGGTTAGTCATGGTTTGGTCTTGGTTGGTCTTTGTTTGGTCTGGTTAGTCCTGGTTTGGTCCTGACCTGATTTTTTTTTTATAGGAAGCAGTGTAACTGACTGTGTCCCTGAACATCACCACGGTTCAACATGGTGAGTATGACATCACATGAGAACATATGGACACTACCAGTGATTGGCTCACATGGAGGCGTACTGTTTCAGAGCAGCACCACTTCCTGGGCGTAGCGTCTTGGGACAGAGCACCGACCGTAGACGGAGGAATCTAACATGTACGGGAGGATCGAGCCAGGAGATATGTTATTACAGGTACTACATTTACCACAAGTACTACAGGTACTACAGTAACATGTACTGCAAGTACTACATGTACTACATGTAATGCAAGTACTACAGGTACTACATGTAATGCAAGTACTACAGGTAGTACATGTACTGCAAGTACTACAGGTAGTACATGTACTGCAAGTACTACAGGTAGTACATGTACTGCAAGTACTACTGGTACTACAGGTACTGCAAGTACTACAGGTACTGCAAGTACTACAGGTACTGCAAGTACTACAGGTACTACATATAATGCAAACACTACAGGCACTACCTTTGGACTGTTGTTTCAGGTGAATGACATAAACTTCGAGAATATGACGAACGACGACGCAGTGAAAGTCCTGAGGGACGTCCTGCACGCGCCGGGGTCAGTGTAAAACCTGTGTAAACCAGAGTAAAACCAGTTTAAACCAGAGTAAAACCAGTTTAAACCAGAGTAAAACCAGTTTAAACCAGAGTGAAACCAGTTTAAACTAGAGTAAAACCAGTTTAAAGTTTAAACCAGAGTGAAACCAGATTAAACCGGTTAAAACCAGTTTAAACCAGAGTGAAACCGTTATTAAAAACACTATCTCTGTTCAGACCCATCACTCTGACTGTGGCCAAGTGCTGGGACCCGAGTCCAAAGAGCGGATTTTCCCTCCCTCCAAGTGAGACACACACACGCACACACACGCACAAACACGCACACGCACACTCTGAGTCTGTTGTGTGTCTGTTTGAGGTGAACCCGTGAGACCCATTGATCCTGCCGCCTGGGTCTGTCACACAGCCGCCATGACAGGACGCCTCACCCCCCACTACTGTAAGTACTACAAGCACTACTGTAAGTACTACAAGCACATCTGTAAGTTCTACATGCAATACTGAAAGGACTACTGTAAGTACCACAAGTAGTACTGTAAGCAAAACAAGCACTATTGTACGTACTAAGTACTTCTGTAAATACTTCAAGTGCTACAAATAAAACTGTAAGTACTACAGGTGTTAGGGATGAAGCAGACAGAGACGGATCGTGGTGTGCCAAACTCTGGAAGTTTATTTAAGTTTCTCTCAAGTTCCACTGGTTTACCTTGTTTCTTTCTCTCAGACAGAATAAAGGCAGTACACAGTTTATATAGTCATTGTCACGTCACACATCGAAAGACATACGTGTCACAAAGAGACAGTCAAATCATAGTCATAACATGGAGTCCTTGTAGAGTCCTTGTACAGTCCTGCACGTAGGCCATATTGCTATCTAATACTAACACCGGTTCAAACTTGTTTGTTTTGTTTTGATTTAAAACTTTAAACCTAATTTTTATCCTCCTCTGATATTCTGTCTGCTCCTCTCTGATTGGCTGTCTGCTCCTGTCTTCTGATTGGCTGTAGCGGTGCATGAGGACACGCCTCTGAGTGTGCACAGTGACATCACGACGGTGGTGGCGGCGATGACCAATCAGAGATCAGGACTGGAAGTACGAGATCGACTGTGGCTGAAGATCACCATCCCCAACGCTTTCATCGGTGTGTGTCTATATCTGTGTGTGTGTGTGCGTCTTATCGTATTAAAAAATGACGTGTTCAAAATCCCTTATAAAGATGACCATGATTCAGAAAGTTAAATTCAAAAAGGTTTATTTCCCTAATACAAAAAGAATCTAACACAACGACCTGGACCAACTTTAACTATCCCTTATTCCCTATATAAAGAATAAGTATGACTTTGGTGGGCGCGCTCCACGCAAAGTCACACTGCTGTCCCTGATCCAGTTTAGTCTAAAAAACAAGCATGAGGTTATTTAAGCAAATGTGCATGAAGAAGGGGGCGTGTCGTTTCTCTCGGGTCCCGGGTCCGGCCTCCATCATGTCTTCTCCGTCTCGCCAGACCTAGACATAATCATTCACACACTCCCCCTCCCCAGCCTATAGATTTATTGGTTCCTTTGAGATAAGGCAGAAAGCTCTCCTTCTTTCACAACTTGAAAAGATTAGCAGAATCCCCCCAGATTAACTATCATTAACTCACCCATGCACTTTTGGACAAAATGGGACAAGGGGAGTAGGGCAATACAAGGTCTTTCTTTTTGCTTGGAGACAGACAGAGTTCAATTTCAGGTCAATCTAATTCACATCGCCTTTTAGCCTATATTTAATACAACAGTTCCCTCTTTTGGCCGCTATTAAAAAAGGCCACACATTTCAATAACCTTCCTCAGGCGACGGGACGGGGGAATCCTCAACCAATGCAAGCATTTGACCTCTCAGTCCAGGGTTAACAGCGGTGTCTATAGCTTTAACACAAAGGGAACGTATACAAGGTATACAGCAGCATCCTACAACCATTATTATTGCAAAGATGCCGCAAGGCTTGTGATAACAGACAAAATTACATGCTTCCACTTCCCCAAGATGCTGTCCAGCCACGCCTCCAGTGGGTTCTCCGGGACTCCAGAAACGTCATGCATTTGCTCTGACAGCATTTTGAGACCAGCCAGAGCCCTGGAAACTGATCCATCTGGATGTGTGTTATTTGGAATGTATACACAACATTCTGTACCAAATAAACTGCAGACCCCACCTCTCTCTGCTAAGAGCATGTCTAGAGCCACTCTGTTTTGAAATGCCACCAGAGAGGTGGCCCCCAGCTGCTCCGCCAATCCCTCTATTGCGTCCCTGGTGTGATTGGCAAGCCTAAGCATAGTATACCAAATGAAATTAATTCTATCTACATTTTTGTTTGGCGTGATAGGGAAAATAGCGGAAATTATTGGAATATTTTCGAAACCTGTTGCAATTTGATCTACCAGTTTGAATTCATGAGGGACTCCACGTGGAACACCTATAGAGTCCATGTAAGTTGGATTATCTTTCCCAGTATCTAGGAATGGTATTGCTCTTTTAAATCTATGCAGTGGGTGGGGACTGTCTAGGGATGGCTTATGGCCAATTATGGAAATGGGCATCATTAATCGCACCATTGCACAACTACCTGTAAAATTTTTAATTAGTCTATGTCTAAGTTTTAAATCTCCACACAACCAATACAAATCACCTCTGGTCCGGGTCATGTGGACCGGACTGGGCAGGGTGACGTTGTTGACACACCAGTCTGCTGGAAGGAACCCCCACTGGAGACGCGGCCTCGTCCCCCCATTGAGTGAGTGGAAACAGGTGTAATTGCTTTTCCTGTGGGAAAACATAGGGGGCTGAATTTCTGAATCCAATTCTGGAAACAATACTTCAAACATTGAACAATTACTAGGGGCTGTCTTTGTCTCCTCAGTCAGGTCTTTTTCTTGCCAAAACAACTTTATCATACAATTATAACCATCTACATCTTCTGGGAAAAGTGGAGCAGGGGCTGTATACAAAGTGGGACGTGCAGTAGAACACACCACACAATCGTCAAAGCCAGCAGCCGCTGACATGTGTTCCACTGTCCACAACCAAGCGTTTCTATCCCCATATCCAGTTGCTTGTCTTAACAATTCAGAAACAGTCCAGTCAGCAGTCACCTGTACGTTTTGTTTGTCTTGCCATACTTCACTATCTATGGCCTCCTTGTCTAGCTCCTTGTCCTCGGGTATGGCAATTGAAATCCATTGTCTAATGTCTCCTGGATAATGTCCAATAACGTAAGTCCCATTCACATCAATCCCACAATTTTTCACAGTGACTAGCACCGTTGTTTGTGAGTGGTCTGTAGTCAGAATCACTCGTCCCTTCAATCTGTGTTCATTATTATAACCCCAATCAGGACCTGTATTGGATATAACATACTCCCAAGCATCACAGGTGCAGTCCACCGATGCTCTAAAGCTTTTTCCATGTCTCTCATATTTACATGTAGACGGTGTGTAACACAGGTAGAGTGTGTAGTCAGGTCGAAAGGATAATGGAAAGATTGTTGCCATTGGTATGTGGGCTGTAATTGTCGCACCCACCGGGCATTTTACTGTCACAACCGTAGGTAGAGAGTCTGTAACGCTGCCTTCTCCTATGGATCTTTTATTTCTGTCAGTCTTATTGGACCAAAGACTGGATTGTGTTACAAGTCTGGCCCTGTCTCTTAGCTGTGTGTTTTCTAACACTTCCCATGTTAAAATTCCCAGGACCACGACCAAACCAACTGCAGCGATAGCCCATAGGATGGCTCTCCCTCTCTTGGTTGTGGGCCAGGGCTCCCTGTCCCAAGGCAACATATTAAGAGCGAGTGTAAGCGTGTGTGTGAGTCACTGTCCAACCCGTGAGCGTGGTTACGAGGGTGGGTCAGATGGTCTCGTATGAGAGAGATGAAACCACTTGTTCCCGTGTCCCTTCAGTTGAACAGCTTTGCGAGTGCGGGCCACCACTTCAAAGGGTCCGTTCCACTTCCTTTTGAACACCTTCACACGGACCCAGGCAGGTGGATCCTCCGAGGCCTCCTTCTCGCAGAGGTCGAGACTTCCTTCAACCTGATGGGAAAAACTAGACAACATTTCTCTCAATTGTTCCCAGTACACCCGCACTGGGGGTGTTGGGGAGTCGTCTTTTGTGAAAGGCACCACCCTGTTTCCTGGTCCTGGCATAGGCCTCCCTGTTAACAGCTCGTATGGGGAGAAATGGTGAATGCGGTTAACAGAGTGCCTTGCTGACAACAGGGCAATAGGCAATGCCTGTAGCCAATTCAATTTACTCGTTGCCAGGATTTTAGAGAGTTTACTTTTCAGGGTCTGATTCATCCTTTCAACTCGGCCCTGGGATTGAGGATGGTAGACCGTTCCAAATTTATGTTTTAGCCCCAGATGTTTTTCTACCAATTGCAAGTGTTTGTTCCTGAAATGCGTCCCATTGTCAGACCTTATTAACTGGGGAAAGCCATGCGTTGGGATGTAATGCTGAATTAAGGCTTTGATTACAGAGGCAGCATCCTCTTTTGCAGCAGGATATGCCTCAGGCCATCCCGTAAAGGTGTCAGTGATGACCAACAGGTACCGCTTTCCTGCGCACCTGTTAATCATATCTGTGAAGTCCATCACAACATGTGCTCCAGGCCAAGTAGCAGGTGTGAATTTTCCTGGGGAAACAGCTGAGCAGGGCGATGGGTTATAATTTTGACATATTTGACAGGACCTAGTATAATCTTGGATCATGCTTGTCTTAAAGGGATGCCACCATTGTGACATATTCCTGAGCATCTGTACCTGACCCACATGGGCTAGCCCATGTGCCTCAGATAAAGCCGCTCGTGAGAGGTCCCCCACGGGCAGGGCGGGGCGGCCATCAGGGCCGTACCAGATGCCAGTATCTGGATCCTTCTTTGCCCGTTTTTGAACCCACATGGATATTTCTTCAGGAGCTGCTTTTGTTTGGGCCTCAGCCAAAACCTGAAGGGATAGATCGGGCAGGCAGTCTGCCAGGTCTGGCCCCTCGTCCCGAACCACAAACACTCCTGGAGTACTGACCTTGTAGTTGGCAGCTTTCTTTGCGGCCTCATCCGCCGCCTCGTTTCCCCTGGCCTCAAAGTTGTCTGACTTGGAGTGCCCTTGGCACTTGATGACGCTTACCTGTTTTGGAAGCTGGAGAGCGCTGTCCAGCCTCTCCACCAGGGCTCTATGTGTGATGGGTCGGCCTTTAGCAGTCAAGAAGCCGTTTCTTTTCCACTCGGAGAGGTTGAAATGGACAGCCTGAGTAGCATACGCAGAGTCGGAGTAAATATTTACAGATTTACCTTTAGCAAACTCCAAGGCGGCGCAGAGAGCCTCTAGTTCTGCCGCCTGCGCTGATGGTTTGTCAGTTAAAACACCGCTGTTTACTGTAACAAAATTTTCACCGTTAACACTGACAACTGCATATGCCGCTCTCAAGCTGCCATTCCTCTCTCTCCAGCAACACCCATCTGTGAAAAGCTGTAAGTCGGGGTCCTGAAGTGGGTCAGTCTGGAGGTCAGGTTGCACTTTCAGACTGTCTATTACCCTTACACTGCAGTCATGAGGCTCACCCTGTCTTGGCATGTGGTCAGCCATGTTAATGCCAAGAGGTGTAAAAGTTATGTGGGGCTGAGTGAGCACCTGTAAGAGCCGTGACTGTCTCAAAGGTGACATAGTGAATGCAGCTGAGGACACATATGCACAAACGCCATGATCAGTCAATATTTCTAAAGCATGCCCCATGACTAAATGTGCTGTTTTCTTAATCAAATGTCCCACTCCTGCAGCATACCTAGAACAGTCAACCTGTCTAGCCTCGATTGAATCCAATGGAACGCTAATATACTGTAAGATTTTTCTCTGGCCTCTGCACTTTTGATATAACACCCCGTTAGCTACCTGAGACTGCACTGTGGCATCTAAATAAAACGGGAGAGCATAATCTGGTGAAGCCAAATGAGCCGCAGAGGATAGGTCCTGTTTGAGTGAGATAAACTGTGCCTCACTATCTCTGTCCCAATTCAGTTTTGCCCTTGTGTTTCTCATGCCATGTTCATTAACTAAAGCTCTTAAAGGTTTAGTTTTGTCTGCAAAATCTGCCACATAGTGTCTGCTATAGCCTATCAGACCCAGGAAGGACAACATGTCCCCCACCATGGTGGGTCTGGGATATGACAAAATAGCATCTCTGTGCTCTGGAGACATATTTGTGGATCCTCCAGACACACTACGTCCCAGGAAGGTCACCGCAGGCCTGCAACATTGTAGCTTTTCCTTACTGACCTTAAATCCTTTTGAATGTAAGAAGACTATAGTGTCCCTAGTGGCTTGTAGACAGGCCTGCTCCGTTCTCGAGGCGAGGAGGAGATCGTCCACATACTGTAGGAGTACCACGCCCTCCGGAAGCACCAACTCTCTCAGCAGAGCGTTCAAAGTCAGATTAAAAATGCCCGGGGAGCATTTATGTCCCTGGGGAAGACGGGTGTAACGCAGTTTTTGGCCCCTGTGAGTAAATGAGAAGAAATCTCTGCTTTCCTCTGCCAGGGGAATACAGAAAAATGCATTAGCCAAATCCATAACAGTAAAATACTGGAGGTCTGGTGACAGTGATGACAGCATTGTATAAGGGTTTGGGACCGGGAGACACTGAGTTAATGTTAAATCATTTATTTTTCTCAAATCATGGACCATTCTATATTTATTCTGACCTGTTTTTGGCCCAGCTAGAGTGGGCGTGTTCCACTCTGATTTTGATGGCTCGAGGACTTCCACTTTCGTAAGTCCCTCTATCACCTGTGAGATACCCTCGACAGCGTCTGGTTTGGCGGCATACTGCTTTATGCGAATCGGGCCTCCTGGCTTCATCTGTAAAGACACAGGAGGGAAAGAGGTGCACAACCCCACGTCCGTGGGACCTTGGGACCAAACTTCTGCAGGCACCTGTTTCAATATTTCATGAGTATCATCATGATCTGTCATGTGTCTACCATGATGTCTGGTCAATGTTTCGTGCTCCACTTCCCCTGTGTCTATCATATTTGCTTTTATTCTGTATGACTTATTTTCAATGCTGTACTGCACATGAGGCAGTTGGGTGTCAGACCAATCGTCAGCTTTTACCAGTCTCTTTACCATTGGACCTAAAGCTCTAGCCTCGTGACCAGGGTGTACAGCCAAGGTGATGTGTGGGACAGCAGAGGAAGACATGTAATACCACTCACACTGTTCAGGAAGCAGCCGTGTATGGGCCGCCACACCCTCAGGCCCAATATAAATGTAATCTGATTCTAATGTCCACCTATCACTTTCAATTTGTTTGAATTGTTCTCTGTACATTAAGTCTTGGTCTCTGTCATAGAATAATGTCAAGTGGGCAGGGTCCAGTGGGAGGTGGTAGGAGGCCAAAGAATTTATCCAGGGTTTCCACTTGAAGAAGACGGAATGCACACCATTATTGTCCGTGGACTTGTTTTCTGGGTCCAGTCTCACCCAGTATATGTCTGCATACTGGTCTGGCATCTCTTCTCTCAGAAGCCAGCAGGAGTCCATCGATACACCGGTCACACATCTGTAAATTTGCCCCCCTGGAAAAGTCACTTGTAGACCATCCGGTCCACATAGAATTGACGCATTGGTTTTAGTCAATAAGTCTCTTCCCAGCAGGTTGACAGGTGTTTTAGGAGCATTTACAAAAGAATGCCACAGTGTCTGTGTTCCAATTTGTGTCTTTAAACGTTTAGTGAGTGGCAGTACCTCAGGTGTCCCAGAAAATCCAACCAGGGTGATGTGCTCCTCAGAGAGCAGGACAGGGCGTATCTTTGTATTGATGGTAGAGTAGGTGGCGCCAGTGTCCACCAGGGCCATCAGGTTGTCGTCCTCCACCCTTATGGGAAGCATAGGCTCTGCAAGCACCTTGTCCCCTGGATTTCCTAGGCAGCCCTAGTAAGATTGTTCATGTTCATACTCGCCCTGGTAGTTCCCATGCTGGAAATATTGTCTATCTCTCGGGGCCAGGTTGTCATTCGGAGCCGTCCATGGGGAGGGAGGGCCTGCGCGCTCTGGTCTGGGTCCCATGCCTCTCTGGGGGCCCCTCCCACGCACCATCTCAGGCGCTCCATGGTAGTAGGAGGCCTCTCCTTCAAAGGGGCAGTCCTTCGCCCAGTGACCGTGCCTGTAACAGAGCCGACACACATCCCTGCCCCCTCTCCAGCTTCCACCCCTTCTTCCTCCCCGGCCCCCACGCCCACCACCTCTGGCCCCTCCCCTTGTCCAGTCCTGTCGTGGTGGAGTGGGAAGTCCAGCAGGCATATTAGTCATCTGATTACTAGTTCCTTTTTTATTTTGGGTGGCTTTATTTCTCGCTTCACTAAGCTGTAACTTCAAAAGTTGACAAGTCATATCTTCAACACTCTTTCTTTCTTTAGTTTTATTTTCAACATATCGCTTAATGTGAAAGATTAAATTTGTTTTCCACTGTGCTGAATCCGGGTTAATATTATCTGGGTTGTCTTCAATCTTTGAGCGTATTGTTTCTGGTAAACCATTCAAAATAGCTGCTCTAAAAGGCATGACTTCACTGACCTTGTGAGGGTGTCTTCCTACTGTGTCCATCCACTTGGTCACACTCCTGTCATAAAATACAAGTGGGTCCTCAGACTCCAGCCAAGTTAACTCACGAGGGGCAGAAGACAGCGGAGTTGGAAAGTTTTCCCTCAGTGCTTCATACCAGGCATTTGCATATTGGCCAAATCTGGAAGAATCACAAACATCAGCAGTACCAGCTTGTCTTTCAATAGCGTCTCTCTCCCATGGTTTACTGCATGCTGCCAACACTGCCCGGACGTCACCCATCGCGACATCATGACCTGTAAACCATGTGTTCAGACTGGAAATCCAGTTTCCAGCTCCCTGACACAATGGAGGCATTTTGTCTTTTATAGTCTGCATGTCACTTACAGAAAAAGGATGGTACTCCCCAGCTGCGCCTCGTCCTGGTCTCAGAGGGAACATGGATTTTGTCTGAGACCTGGTTCTGCTTGCCACCGGTCTAGTTTCTCCAGGCTCCTGGTCTCCGTCATCACTACTGTCAGAAGAGAATTTAGCTCCTTTTTTAGCCTGTTTAGCTTTAAGTACTGGTGGGGCCATGGCACCGTCTCCCTTGTCACTTTCACTGTCCGTCCTAGTCATGGCTCTGCGTGCGGCTTTATTAATTAATTTTGCATTCTCCTGTCTAGCGGTCTCGTAATCATGGGTCCTACTTGCGGTTTCTTCTCTCTCAACTCTGTCTGTGGTGCATTCAAAGGTCGGTTTCCTAGCTCTAATATTTCTGAGAGAGTGCAGGAGCTCTTCTTGAATAGATGGGGGTTGGTGAGGGGTGTGTGGGAGCTGTGACGGGCTGTTGACAGCTGGATTTTGACTCGGATCTCTATTGTCCCCCACAGACTCCTCTTCTGTCCCTTCGTCAAATTCACTGTCTACAAAGTCATTGTCCCCTCTCTTTCTTACCGCCACTTCTCCTGAAAATGTATATTGTGGCAATATTAGATTTGGCTTACCTGGTTCTAAACCTAGAGAGTACTTTGGTGGAGCCGTGGGTAGGGATGGGTATATATTACTCACCGGCATTGCTCCGTTTTCTGTTTCCTTGTCTTTACTTACCATCGGTAATTTTGCCAACGCCGTGGCAGCCAAAGCAAAATTATGTACCTTGGTCCTCAGTTTCTCAGCCTTTTTTAGTTTCTTTTTAATTTTTCTACGCTCATTCCAACTCTCTCCTTGCTTTCCCTCAAGCTCAAGTTTATCCTGTTTTAAATTATTTTCCTCTTCCCGCAATATCTTAGCCAATGCGGACGCTGTCATATACTCAGGTATGACCCTTTTGTTCTGTATTTTTTCCCATGCTTTCACAGCCTTTCGTTTTGCCTTGTTCCTATATTTTTTATCCAGACCACTCAGAATCTGAGCCTCTATTTCTCTATATAGCTGCTCGATTGGAATGCCTGTCTCCATTTTTCGGGGGGGCCCAAAATTCCCCCAGGTTCCAATGGTGAAAACCTAACTTGTGTGTTGACGCGTCCGTCAACCACGCTAGTCACAGCGGGCTTTCCTGTTTCTGGCAAGGCTTCTCAAAAAATCTTTACTTTTAATATATTCTCGCAGGGTTCTAACTACTTTTTAGGCTTTTACTATTTTTACTTTTTGAATTAGCTCCTCCGTGGACAAAACTTCTCTCCCCTTAATTTGTTTAGTCAAATATGCAGATTTTTCATTAGTCAAAAGGTATCTGCTTACCTTCAGTTCAGCGGCCGCTTTGAGGAGAGACGCAGAGTCCAAGGGAAGGCGAAAAGTCATCAAAGGGATCACGTCGAGGGTCACCAATTATTATATTAAAACATGACGTGTTCAAAATCCCTTATAAAGATGACCATGATTCAGAAAGTTAAATTCAAAAAGGTTTATTTCCCTAATACAAAAAGAATCTAACACAACGACCTGGACCAACTTTAACTATCCCTTATTCCCTATATAAAGTATAAAGTATGACTTTGGTGGGCGCTCCACGCAAAGTCACACTGCTGTCCCTGATCCAGTTTAGTCTAAAAAACAACAATAACATGAGGTTATTTAAGCAAATGTGCATGAAGAAGGGGGCGTGTCGTTTCTCTCGGGTCCCGGGTCCGGCCTCCATCATGTCTTCTCCGTCTCGCCAGACCTAGACATAATCATTCACACACTCCCCCTCCCCAGCCTATAGATTTATTGGTTCCTTTGAGATAAGGCAGAAAGCTCTCCTTCTTTCACAACTTGAAAAGATTAGCAGAATCCCCCCAGATTAACTATCATTAACTCACCCATGCACTTTTGGACAAAATGGGACAAGGGGAGTAGGGCAATACAAGGTCTTTCTTTTTGCTTGGAGACAGACAGAGTTCAATTTCAGGTCAATCTAATTCACATCGCCTTTTAGCCTATATTTAATACAACAGTCTAGTCTCAGATGTTGTGGACTGGCTCATGGCTCATATCTCTCTCTGTGTTTGTGTGTGTTGTGTGTCCAGGTTCAGATGTTGTGGACTGGCTCATGGCTCATGTGGAAGGGTTGTGCGACCGTCGTGAGGCTCGACGTTACGCCTCAAACCTTCTGCAGAAAGGATTCATCAAACACACCGTCTCCAAACAGAGCTTCAGCGAGCAGTGTTACTATGGATTCGGCGATGTGTGTACAGGTAACACCCACACACACACCGGTAACACACGTACACACACACACACACCGGTAACACACGTACACATGCACACATACACACACACACACTTTAGTTTAGTCTGAAGAAGCTTGTATAAACTGTGGATCTATCTTAAAGGAGCCAGTTATAGTTCACACAAGGCTTTAAAGTATTATCATTTTAATCATAGGGTGCATCCAGAGCAGACCTAATGTTATTGGTGTATGGTGGTTTTTGCATTGGTAACTTCTCTGCTCAAAATGGTGAAACCCCCCTCTAGTGGCTGTTATCGAAACTGCAACAGTTTCATCTCTTGGTATCTACACTCTTTACCTCTGGTCTCTGGTCTTACCTTTGGTCTCTGGTCTTACCTTTGGTCTCTGGTCTTACATCTGGTCTTATCGCTGGTCTTACCTCTGGTCTTTGTTCTCTGATCTCACCTCTGGTCTCTGGTCTCGGGTCTTACCTCTGGTCTCTAGTCTCACCTCTGGTCTCCGAACCCTGGTCTCTGGTCTTACCTCTGGTCTTGGGTCTCACCTCTGGTCCCTGGTCTCTGTAGTCTGGTTCCTGGTCTCACCTTTGGTCTTACCTCTGGTCTCACCTCTGGTCCCTGGTCTCTGGTCCCTGGTTTCACCTCTGGTCTTACCTTTGGTCTCTTCAGAACTCGGACTCCTGACCCTGGACCCGGGTGAGTCTCAGACCTCAGACCCAGACTGTCCCGTCCCAAACCCCTATGGCGCCCCTAGCAGGACAACCAGGAGAGAGGCGGGCAGCCACAGCCACGGTAACACACAAACACGGTAACACACACACAGACAGACAGAGACACACAGAGCCACAGACACACACATACTGACACACACAGATACATAGACACACAAAGACACACACACAGGCACACAATACCCAATACAGGGTGTAACTAAATAAATGCTAAATTTATTTTGTTCCATTTCCCCCAAAATGTTCTTAGCAATAATTTGAAGTCACTTTTTGCTAAAATTAAACAAATAATAGAAACAGGCCCCGCCCCCTGCTCCACACAGAAGGGAGGGGCTGTAACCGTGACAACTGTTTGTTCACAGGAAGTGGTGGAGGGTCAAACTGCAATGAAAAGCCAAGAGAAGATGTGGACCAATCAGAGTGCAGAGACGCACAGCCCCCGCCCCCGGCCTCCAGACAGTCCTTCCGATTGGCCGTGGGAAACCCCAGCGAGTTCTTTGTAGACGTCATGTGACCAGAGCAAAGCAATCAGCTGCAGCCATCCAAATATGAACAGACCAATCATCTGTGCCAGAAGCACTGTGGGAGGAGCCTACGAACTGTGGGAGGAGCCATTGAACTGGGGAGGAGCCTATGAACTGTGGGAGGGGCCAACACACTGTGGGAGGAGCCAGCAAACGGTGGGAGGGGCCAACACAATGTGGGAGGAGTCAACAAACGGTGGGAGGAGCCATTGAACTGTGGGGGGGCTAACAAACTTTGGGAGGAGTTAAATGACTGTGGGAGGAGCTAAAGAAAAAAAAAAAGAGTACTACAGGTACTACAGAAACTACAGGTACACTGGTCCCTGGTTTATGACAGTAGGAACTGTAAAACCCTCTCTTTCTTCACTTCTCTCACAACAAAGGGACTGTAGGTAAACCGAATTCTGAGATCAGAGGACAAAGGGACCGTATCAAACCGTACCCTCAGATCAGAGGACACAGGGACAGTATCAAGACCGAACCCTGAGAGCAGAGGACAAAGGGACTGTAAAGGAAGGTTTCTCACCCATCATCTGTACTTCTTAGCAAGTTTTCCTCTAACACACCTGAGATTAGCACTGCTTCTATCACATTTGAGATTAGCACTGCTTCTAACACACCTGATCCCTGCACTGCCCCCTGTAGACAGAACATGTCATTACTGCTGTAAGTGTTTAAAATAAAGATGGATTCAAAACTGTGTTTCTAATGATGTCACAATATTCTGAGACCAGAGAGAGACCAAAGATGTTTCACTATGCACAAAAAATATGACTCAGACTCAAATGGAGGCTTGTGTTTATTATCCAGTAGTTTTTTCAAAGTATTGGAATTCTGGTCCCGGTCCTTGTGTTGGTCCTGGTCTTAGTTCTAGTATCGGTCCTGGTCGTGGCCCCAGTCCTGGTCTCAGTCTTGGTTCTGGTCTCAGCCCTGTCTAAATCTCAGTCCTAGTCCTGTTCTCAAGCTCAGTCCTGGTCCTAGTCCTGGTCTCAGCATCAGTCCTGATCTTAGTTCTGGTCTCAGTCCTGGTCTCAGTCCTAGTCTCAGTCCTGGTCTCAGTCCTGGTCCTGGACACGGATGTCCCAGGAGGAGGCGGGGCCCTGGTTGCCGTGGCGACAGGTGTAGCTTCCTTCGTTAAACTCGTTAGCGACGATTCTGAGATCACGGCCTTTTACTTCAATGTGTCCTTTGACCGAACCCAGGATCAGCTCTCCATCTTTATACCACCTGTTAGAGACCATCCTGTTAGAGACCACCCTGAGGTTAGAGACCACCTGTTAGAGACCACCTTTTAGAGACCATCCTGTTAGAGACCATCCTGAGGTTAGAGACCACCTGTTAGAGACCACCCTGAGGTTAGAGACCACCTGTTAGAGACCACTCTGAGGTTAGAGACCACCCTGAGGTTAGAGACCACCTGTTAGAGACCACCCTGAGGTTAGAGACCACCCTGAGGTTAGAGACCACCTGTTAGAGACCATCCTGAGGTTAGAGACCACCTGTTAGAGACCACCCTGAGGGTAGAGACCACCCTGAGGTTAGAGACCACCTGTTAGAGACCACCCTGAGGTTAGAGACCAACTGTTGGAGACCACCCTGAGGTTAGAGACCACCTGTTAGAGACCACCCTGAGGTTAGTGACCACCTGTTAGAGACCACCCTGAGGATAGAGACCACCCTGAGGTTAGAGACCACCCTGAGGTTAGAGACCACCTGTTAGAGACCACCCTGAGGTTAGAGACCACCTGTTGGAGACCACCCTGAGGTTAGAGACCACTTGTTAGAGACCACCTTTTAGAGACCACCCTATACACCGCATACTAATCCATCCCTAACTCCCTGCTCATGATCACTTCATAGCTGCATTTAAACAGAGCCTCTCAGTTCTCTGCTGCTCAAGATGCTGTTCGAGCAGCAACCCACCTCCTCTTCAGTGGAGTACCATGTCATGTCTTTGGCTCAGCTTCTTCTCTACCAGGGTCTAGGCTCCGGGGGTCGAAAGCTCATAATTTCTATTACACTCCCTTCTGCATGCGTCATGCAGTGTTCCTGCCAGGGTCTAATCGCCAAAGCTTAACAATAAATATATCAGTATTCAATCTAAGTTTGCTGGTGTCTAGTCATGTATCTTGACAATAAATATTATAATGCAATATTTGTCTCAAGTCTCTCCATATTGAAAAGTATCTATCTCTAAACTTTCAGTCTCTAGATGTGCAGATCTTGTAGTCAGACCCCACAGACTCCTGTGTTCAGGATTAAAGACATAAGTGTTAATCGTAACATTAAGTGGAGTATGAGATGACCGGGATGAGCACGCACCTGATTTTGCGCTGGTTCCTCAGGTTCCTGGTTCCACATCTGAACCCGACCACTTTCCCTCGAGGAACGGTCTTCACCCTCAGGTGAGCGGGCGGGGCAGTAGGCGCTGCCTCCTCCCACTCTGTCACACAGGTGTTATTACACCACCAGCCGGGGGCGTGGTCAGAGAGTAGTACTGCTGCATCCTCAGTGGCAGCAGTAGTAGTAGTAGCAGTAGTAGCAGTAGCAGTAGCAGAAGCAGCAGCAGTAGCAGTAGCATCAGCAGTAGTAGCAGCAGTAGCAGTAGTAGTAGTAGTAGCATCCGCAGTAGTAGCAGCAGTAGCAGTAGTAGTAGCATCAGCAGTAGTAGTAGCAGCAGTAGCAGTAGTAGTAGCAGCGGGAATAGTAGATAGCATTAGCAGTAGTAGCAGCAGCAGCAGCAGCAGTAGCAGTAGTAGTAGTAGTAGTATTTACCGTAGCACAGGCCACAGCGCAGAGCACAGTTTTTCTTCATGAAGGATTTCCGTCTCTCACAGAATCCCAGACGAGCCCATGGGTCGCACACACGCTTCTTATCCTCACAGCCTGAAACCAGGGAGAGGAATCAGACCAGGACCAGGACTGAGGCTGTAGACCCAGGTCTTACCGTAGAGCTGGCGGATTCCGTGCAGGTCGTCCTGGGTCAAGCTCCTCTGACCCGTGTAGGTGGCGTTCGGGTGCATCAGAGCCTTCGGGTCGCGGGAATGCCACAGTCCCAGAGCGTGACCGATCTCATGGGCCGCTACCTGGACCAAGTCATTCAGCCAGACCCCTGAAGGCAAGAGCAGAACCAGGACTAAGACAGGACAAGGATCAGAATCAGGACTGAGAACTTGACCAGGACTAAGACAGGACCAAAATCGTGTGAACTCAGCTTGACCGGACTGGACCAGCCTGGACCTGGATCCTCCGGACTCACCTTGTCTCCAGCTGAAGCGAGACTTCCCCAGGACCCAGAACTCGTGGTTGTCGAAGTGGATGTCTCCTCGCGGTGGCAGGAAGGCGTGGGCCAGTTCCCCGTTAAGACCATCAAAGCACGGGTGCAGAGGGGAGCTCCAGCAGTCGGAGTGATTCAAGGAGTGGAACCCTGAGGAGCACAGGGTCAGTCCTGGGTCTACAGCCTCAGTCCTGGGTCTACAGCCTTAGTCCTGGGTCTACAGCCTCAGTCCTGGATCTACAGCCTCAGTCCTGGGTCTACAGCCTAAGTCCTGGGTTTGCAGCCTCAGTCCTGGGTCTAGATCCTCAGTCTTGGGTCTACAGCCTCAGTCCTGGTTCTACAGCCTCAGTCCTGGGTCTGGCTTTGATTGGTAGTACCGATGGTGATGTCAGCATGCCCAGCCGTGACCTCGGTGAAGCTTAGTGGTGACACGTCGCTCCATTTGGTGAACGCTGAAGACAGAGCTTTACGCGTCTCAGTCTGAGAGAGAGTCCGAGGGAAGGCCAGGATCCTGAGACCAAGTGAGACAAGAGACCAGGTGAGGCCAGAGACCAGGTGAAACTAGAGACCAGGTGAGATCAGAGACCAGGTTAGTCCAGAGACCAGGTGAGACCAGATTAGTCCAGAAACCAGGTGAGACCAGATTAGTCCAGAGACCAGGTGAGACCAGAGACCAGTTGAGATCAGAGACCAGGTTGGTCCAGAGACCAGGTGAGACCAGAGAGAGAGATGCGTGTGTACACATGCATATGTGTTTATGTGTGTGTACCTGTATGTCGGGTTGTGTGTGTGTGTGTGTTTACAGTACATGCATGTTGGGTTGTGTGTGTGTGGTTACATGCATGTTAGGTTGTGTGCGTGTACACACCTCTCTGTTGGGTTGTGTGTGTGTGTTTACATGCATGTTGGGATGTGTGTGTGTACACACCTCTCTGTCGGGTTGTGTGTGTGTGTCAGGCTGTGTGTGTACCTGTATGTAAGGTTATTGTGGTCCCACTTGTGGTACAGGGGGTTGATGACGTAACGACGGATTCTCAACTCTGAACTCAGAACCTGAAAGGTCAGAGTCAGAGGACAGAGTCAGAGTCAGAGTCAGAGTCAGAGTCAGAGTCAGAGGACAGAGTCAGAGTCAGAGGACAGAGACAGAGACAGAGACAGAGTCAGAGGACAGAGTCAGAGTCAGAGTCAGAGTCAGAGGACAGAGACAGAGTCAGAGTCAGAGTCAGAGTCAGAGTCAGAGTCAGAGTCAGAGGACAGAGACAGAGACAGAGTCAGAGACAGAGTCAGAGGACAGAGTCAGAGTCAGAGTCAGAGTCAGAGGACAGAGTCAGAGTCAGAGTCAGAGGACAGAGACAGAGACAGAGACAGAGTCAGAGGACAGAGACAGAGTCAGAGTCAGAGACAGAGTCAGAGGACAGAGTCAGAGTCAGAGTCAGAGTCAGAGGACAGAGACAGAGACAGAGTCAGAGTCAGAGTCAGAGTCAGAGTCAGAGGACAGAGACAGAGACAGAGTCAGAGACAGAGTCAGAGTCAGAGTCAGAGGACAGAGACAGAGACAGAGTCAGAGACAGAGTCAGAGGACAGAGTCAGAGTCAGAGTCAGAGTCAGAGTCAGAGGACAGAGTCAGAGTCAGAGGACAGAGACAGAGACAGAGACAGAGTCAGAGGACAGAGACAGAGACAGAGTCAGAGTCAGAGGACAGAGACAGAGACAGAGACAGAGTCAGAGGACAGAGTCAGAGTCAGAGTCAGAGTCAGAGGACAGAGTCAGAGTCAGAGTCAGAGTCAGAGTCAGAGTCAGAGTCAGAGGACAGAGACAGAGACAGAGTCAGAGACAGAGTCAGAGGACAGAGTCAGAGTCAGAGTCAGAGTCAGAGGACAGAGTCAGAGTCAGAGGACAGAGACAGAGACAGAGTCAGAGGACAGAGTCAGAGTCAGAGTCAGAGTCAGAGGACAGAGACAGAGACAGAGTCAGAGTCAGAGTCAGAGTCAGAGGACAGAGACAGAGACAGAGTCAGAGACAGAGTCAGAGTCAGAGTCAGAGTCAGAGTCAGAGGACAGAGACAGAGACAGAGTCAGAGACAGAGTCAGAGGACAGAGTCAGAGTCAGAGGACAGAGACAGAGTCAGAGTCAGAGGACAGAGACAGAGACAGAGACAGAGTCAGAGGACAGAGTCAGAGTCAGAGACAGAGTCAGAGTCAGAGTCAGAGTCAGAGGACAGAGACAGAGACAGAGTCAGAGACAGAGTCAGAGGACAGAGTCAGAGTCAGAGTCAGAGTCAGAGGACAGAGACAGAGACAGAGTCAGAGTCAGAGTCAGAGGACAGAGACAGAGACAGAGTCAGAGACAGAGTCAGAGTCAGAGTCAGAGTCAGAGTCAGAGGACAGAGACAGAGACAGAGTCAGAGACAGAGTCAGAGTCAGAGGACAGAGACAGAGTCAGAGTCAGAGTCAGAGTCAGAGTCAGAGGACAGAGTCAGAGTCAGAGGACAGAGTCAGAGGACAGAGTCAGAGTCAGAGTCAGAGTCAGAGGACAGAGACAGAGTCAGAGGACAGAGTCAGAGTCAGAGTCAGAGTCAGAGGACAGAGACAGAGTCAGAGTCAGAGTCAGAGTCAGAGTCAGAGTCAGAGGACAGAGACAGAGTCAGAGACAGAGTCAGAGTCAGAGTCAGAGTCAGAGGACAGAGACAGAGACAGAGTCAGAGACAGAGTCAGAGGACAGAGTCAGAGTCAGAGTCAGAGTCAGAGGACAGAGAAAGAGACAGAGTCAGAGACAGAGTCAGAGTCAGAGTCAGAGTCAGAGTCAGAGTCAGAGGACAGAGACAGAGACAGAGTCAGAGGACAGAGACAGAGGACAGAGTCAGAGTCAGAGGACAGAGACAGAGGACAGAGTCAGAGTCAGAGTCAGAGGACAGAGACAGAGTCAGAGTCAGAGTCAGAGTCAGAGGACAGAGTCAGAGGACAGAGTCAGAGGACAGAGTCAGAGGACAGAGGACAGAGACAGAGGACAGAGGACAGAGACAGAGGACAGAGGACAGAGACAGAGAAAGAGGACAGAGACAGAGGACAGAGTCAGAGTCAGAGTCAGAGACAGAGACAGAGTCAGAGACAGAGTCAGAGGACAGAGGACAGAGACAGAGGACAGAGACAGAGGGCAGAGGACAGGGCAGCCGCGGCGCCAGGGATAGGCCCGGGTAGGCCGGTGCCTACCAGTTTTTTTCTTGGCCTACTCAAATTTGTTCTTCGCCTCTCTTGAGAGGCGATGACTTGTCATTAGCCTTTTTATTAAAAGTCATAATTTTAATATTGTTATTTTTATACACACATTATTGCCTAAATGTTGCGTTCTAATGTTTTAAGAAAATGTAACCCCCTGAGCGTTCACGTTGCTTCAAATATAGTCCTGTTTATTGGCTGAATAATTTTGTCCAATAATCTGCATGATCATATCACACAGCGCGAAGCTCGTTCCCGAGAACAAGCAGCCATTCCTCGTCTTTAAGATTGACAACGCTCTAAAAACATTCACAACAGAGCAGCCTTTTTAGTCATTTTAGTTTTAAGAAAGTTCAGCGTGAACTTTGTGAGGTAGAGGAGCCAGAGGCCTGGGCCCGTAGGTCCCAGAGGAGGAGAGCGCAGTCAGGCCAGGTTCACCTCGCACTGATGAGGTAAACCCCAGGCCTGTGTGTGTGAGACACAGGGCCTCATGTATGAAACTTGCGTACGGACAAATCAGGGTGTAAATCAGGGTAGAATCACTTTTCCGCATTTATCTATCTGGACGTGAGCGTACAATACGCAAAAAAATATACGGCAGGTCTGGAGGTGGAGTAAACGTATACGCTGATCTCAACCTTGGGCTCAACACGCCAAAACACGCATGAAATTCAGGATTTGGACAACAATAAACATATTCCCTCTGGCAAAATTATAAGCTGTGTTTTCATTGAGCATCATGTTTCAAAAGTTGAATTTGCGCATCGGAAAAAGTCTAATGGAAAAATGCAAACTTCGAATAAATCACAGCTCATGATCAGGACCCTCTATTAAATCTGACTTGTGTGTGTATTATTTTGATCTGTATGTTTTTTAAATGTGAAGCGGTTTGTGATCCTGAACTGTGAAAGGCTCTATATAAATACACTTTACGCAACAGGGATGTGTGACCCAGCTATTGCTGTGACAGGCTCTGCACTGCGTAATTACGCACGGCTATTTGTATTCTTCACATCTGGTAAAGCAATGTGTTATTTCATTAGATTTGTGTAACTCTCACACAGACACACACCGCAATAATGCCCTGTCCAGAGTGCGCAGCGAGTGCCGTGAGATATCGCGCCACATAACTCCTCAAATGTGCAGAAGTTTTGGCTTCAGTTTCTTTGTGAAATCTGGACCGCAAACACTCTCTGAAGTGTACAGTGCTTCAATGCGCACTTCTACCCCGAGCCAGGCTGCGTCCAAGACACTGCAGACGCTTCATTCATGAGAGCCACCGCTGCATAATAAATATGAATTCATTCATTCAATCAATCTATATTTATTCACTTCTACAATTCAAGAGAGATTTTTCTAATGTATCAAAACTATTTTTGCAAATTTGTGAAAAACGCAGCTGAATATATAGCGTATATTTATTTTTACATAAACATAACAAACAAACGTGCCTTTTGAGGCTTCCAACAGTCTTTTTGGACTTCCGTGCTGACCTGTCGCAACCATTGCTGCATAATTCTAGGCGTGACTTTCATAAATACGTTCGTATTCAGCCGATTTATCAACACCCGCAGCTGCGTATACGCTCAGATCTGGGCTGATCTCACACGTTCATAAATCCGACGTTGGATTTTGCGTAAATGGAATATACACCCCAAATGTACACATTTTTCTACGCAAGTTTCATAAATGAGCTTGTGTGTATGTGTGTGCTTGGGTGTGTGTGTGTGCGCGTGCGTGCGTTTGAACCATATTCTTTGAAACCCCAATTCCAGCTACCCCTTGTAGTTTGCGTGCAAATTTGGCCTACTTACTAATCTGCAGGCCTACCCAAAATTGCAAACCTGGCGCCGCTACTGGGACAGGGACAGAGTCAGAGACAGAGCCAGAGCCAGAGACAGAGTCAGAGTCAGAGTCAGAGGACAGAGACAGAGGACAGAGAACAGAGTCAGAGACAGAGTCAGAGGACAGAGGACAGATACAGAGGACAGAGAACAGAGGACAGAGACAGAGTCAGAGTCAGAGACAGAGTCAGAGTCAGAGACAGAGTCAGAGTCAGAGGTCAGAGTCAGAGGTCAGAGTCAGAGGACAGAGTCAGAGTCAGAGACAGAGTCAGAGGACAGAGGACAGATACAGAGGACAGAGAACAGAGGACAGAGACAGAGTCAGAGTCAGAGGTCAGAGTCAGAGGACAGAGACAGAGGACAGAGAACAGAGTCAGAGACAGAGTCAGAGGACAGAGGACAGATACAGAGGACAGAGAACAGAGGACAGAGACAGAGTCAGAGTCAGAGACAGAGTCAGAGTCAGAGACAGAGTCAGAGTCAGAGGTCAGAGTCAGAGGTCAGAGTCAGAGGACAGAGTCAGAGTCAGAGACAGAGTCAGAGGAGAGGACTGACTCTGTGTTGGATTTGTCATAAACCCTCTGTTTTAAAACAGTTGTTATGAAAGTCTGTGTTACAGACTGGGTTCTGGTCCAGTCCAGGTCTGGTTCTGGTCCAGATCTGGTCTAAATTAGATGCACATGTGTTAGTTCCACGTCAGCAGCCCCCCCACCCATATACACGTGTCTGTCTTTGTGCCGCTGAGCCTCACACACACGTGACTCACCTGCGTCGTGATCGTCATGGCAACCAGCAGCATCAGCGGGGGCGGGGCCATGGTCTCAGCATGACCTCACTGCTGACCAATCAGCGCTCAGCACGGGATCCAATTAAGTAATCAGCCAATCAGAAGAGACAAGGCACGCGCTCCAAATGTGCGCTTAGGGACGTGAACCCGCGCTATGCCCGTGTCAAAGTCAAGTATGGAAAAGTCTCTGGTCCAGAGGATGTCAAGATCGAGTCCAGGTCTGTGAGTCCGAGACCAGAGTCCGAGACCAGTCCAGAAGGTTTCCAAGTCCTAGTGCGAGTCCAGGGACCAGAGTCCGAGACCAGGAAAAAAATACATGAAAAAAGTTCCGAGCGGCAAGACCACGCAGACCCAGAATTCAGACTGCAGTAAGTCCTGGTCCAGTCCTGGTTCAGCCCTGGTTCAGCCCTGGTTCAGTCCTGGTTCAGACATGTTTCAGACCTTGTCCAGTCTTGGTTCAGTCCTGATCCACAGTCCGGTCTGAGGGTCGGAGGCGCGCTCTGTAGAGGCTTGTGAAGGGGGCGGGCTCAGTGGAGTTACACACGTGACGTCACTGACATTCATATGACACTTCACCCAGAGCCGCTACAAAGAGGTGAGCAAGAGGACAGGGGCCCCAATACACCCCCCACACAGGGGCCCCCATACACCCCAGCCCAACACAAGGGATGGGGTGTATGGGGCCAGTTGGAGGCAGAGTGTTCCTACTGTGGAATCATCCCCTCATCCACGTCCAGGAAGCAGACACTGTCTCTATGTTCAAGGTTAAAACAGTCTTTACTTCAGCAGATGGGTCTGTAAGACTCAGGGAAGACTAAAGCAGGGCGTATATGGTGGCCCTCACCTAATGTCAAATGACCCCCCCGCCCCCCGAGTTTTCTAACTACACAGGAGACAAGGTCCACTGTGATTGGCTCGTGTGTGAGAGAAGGTCCACTACGATTGGCCAGTGTCTGTGATGGCGTTTTGGATGGAAGCATGAACGAGGCTTATGGCTCAGAGGCTGATCTACAGGAGGCTGTGAGTTTTGTTGCATATGGAACATGTTTATACTTACAGTAGTTTCTTATGTTCCATGTCTTTGTTTGAATCTTGTAAAGAGTCATTGTGTTTGCAGTTTGGTACTTTACAAATAACCATCTGTTTCCAACAAGAACTTTGTCTTTATTCACAACATCACGGTTAAAATGAGTCTATTGCACTGTCCATACATTTAAATGAGTTATGAAACAATGAGTCTGTCACATAAACTTATGTCTAGAAACAGATTTCATTTTGGTTACTGTTTGGTTCATAGTTTTGGGGAACGTAGTTTTGTGGTCACGTGATCAACCACAGGTTCAGCGCATACACACACACACACACTGATGCCCGAGTATACACCCGCCTTTAGATATACAACCTTAAACACAGATAGTCAGTGACGCTGCAAATGGACCCCCTGCTGGAGAAGTCTGGTAACAGCACTATCCTGTTCTACTTTATCTTATGACTTCAGCTGTAGCCTGTTCATTGCTTTTCACCTGCTGTCTGTTTCATGGCGTGATGATGGGAGCAGCCTCAGTCCTGGATCTGCAGCCTCAGTCCAACTCCTTATGGACCAATGTATGTGTTTGTTATAGACAGATAGATAGATACTTTATCCTGTCGGAGACCACAGGATTTCATCTCTGCTGTTTGCGGATGATGTTGTCCTGTTGGCTCCAACAAACCAGGACCTGCAGCATGCACTGGGGCGGTTTGAAGCCGAGTGTGAAGCGGCTGGGATGAGAATCAGCAACTCCAAATCTGAGGCCATGGTGCTCGACCGGAAAAAGGTGCCTTGCCCTCTCCTCACCAAGTGGGTGGAGAGGTCCTTCCCCAAGTGGAGGAGTTGAAGTATCTCGTGAGATTGGCAGGCGGATCGGTGCAGCGTGCGCAGTGATGCGGTTGCTGTATCCGTATGGTTTGTTGTGGTAAAGAGGGAGCAGAGTCTGTAGTCAGAGCTCTAGCCTACCATCATGGTAAAGAGGGAGCTGAGCCAGGCAAAGCTCTTGATTTACCGGTCAATCTTCGTTCCCTCCCTCCCCTATGGTCATGAGCTTTGGGTAATGACCAAAAGAACAAGATCGCGGATACAAGAGGTGGAAATGAGCTTCCTCCGCAGAGTGGCTGGGCGCTCCCTTGGAGATAGGGTGAGGAGCTTAGTTACACGAGAGGAGACCCCGGGGAAGACCCAGGACACACTGGAGGGACTATGTCTCTCTCTGGCCTGGGAACGCCTTGGGGTCCCCCCATACGAGCTGGAGGAAGTGTGTGAGGAGAGGGAAGTCTGGGCGTCTATGCTTTGACTGCTGCCCCCGTGACCTGAAGAAGCGGAAGAAAATGGTCGGATGGATTATCATTGCATTTCCTGTGGTTGTACTGTTTGATTCTCTGATTTGTATTGGCGAATCAACAACTTAAGTCCTCTGTGTAACTAGTGTTGTGATTTTGTGATGTAGTATTATTATAAATATAGTTTAAGGTTTATTTGAAACACCCACACACGCACACGCACACGCACACACACACTCTGACAGTGATGGATGTGTATTTAATCTGTTTGTTTCCGTCTCTGGTTTTTTCCCACATCATTGAAAAGAGACGTCTCCACGGCAACCGCATAACAGCGTCTCCATGACAACCACACAACCACCAGCAGCAGGACTGAGACCCTCTGTGTGTGTCTGAGTGTGTGTGATTTTAGAGTTGTTTTTAGAATTGTTTTAGTGATTGTTTTAAAGTTGTTTTAAGAGGTTGTGTTTATAGTTGTTTTAGGTGTTTTCAGAATTATTTTTGAGTTGTCCTTATGAATGTTTGTAGAGGGTCTGAGGTCAATGTTAGTGTTTGTGATCTGTGTTGGTGAATTGACAACTTTGTAAAGTACTAAAGAGATAACTACTGTTGTGGTTTAGGGTGATACAAGAATAATTTGAATTGAGTTGAATCAAAAAGCAGTTGTGGAGCACAGACCTCCACCAAGAGGAAAGTTTTCCGACCCAACAGGTGACATCGCCCCCTGGTGGATACATCATGCACATCATGACACACACAGATACACACGCACACACTGTTGTGTGTGTGTGTGTGTGTGGCATAGAAAAATGTCATACCATGTGGAAAAAGAGACACATTGTGAAACTTAACATGAATAATGTTCAGGAAAACCCTGTTAAGCTTTCAGCCTCTGTGCCAGTACCATGTGCGGGATCATGTACCGGGTACATGATGCTTCATAATGACACCATCCCGAGGCAAAAAATACATTTGCTCATCTCAGCACGAGTTGTCCATCAGAACAGGACCATGAGAACAAAACCATGTGACAGGGTTAGAAAGAAGTGTGCTCAGATATGAAAGGATTAAAACATTTATATTCATTTTTTTTTTATTAAACAAAGGTTTCCTCAAAGTGACTGCACTGAGACGGTAACACACACCTCACCCGTGGCAACACACACTTCACCTGTGTTTTCCCCAAACCAGCAAACCCCTGAATCAGTCACATGGTTCAGGTTCAAAGGTCACATGGTTCACAGAGTCTGGGATCAACAGAACCAGGTCCTGAACAATAATGACATAAATATGACTTGAAACAACATTTGACCCCGGTCCTCACAGTCCCAGACCCCGGTCCTCGCTGTCCCCGTCCCCGGTCCTCTTCCCGTTTCCTTGGTTACGTTAAGAGTCAAGACTGCATTGTTTCTCTGAAAGTCACCAAAGCAAAGACTGAGACTGTCAGCTGTGTTTGTGGCAGATGTTACACAGATACTACACAGATGCCAAGCAGACTCCACTCAGGCTAGTAAATTTCTTCCGTTCCTTCTTAGGTATTTCCCTAAAAATTGACACTAATTAGAGAAACATATTTTAGAAATATAGAGACTCCATAAGTTCTCCCCTTGATACGAGCAGCTGCCACATCTGCCTGGTTCTTAAAAGGGGAGGTTTACTTCCTGTCTCTGATGTTCAGCCACTCGTGACGTCAGCTGTAGCTGTAGCCTAACCCTAACCCAGCAATAGCAACAAAAGCAACAACATGATTCTGTAACACATGATTTTCACACATTTTATTCAACTTGACAGAGCTAGTTTCCCTTAGAGTCAGCTCTAATGGAATGATTTAAGGCTTTGGGTTTAGTCCGATATCCATGAAAGGGAATGTCTGTTGTGTGATTGGTCCGAGTCCTTGAAGGGGGCGTGGTCACTCCATCGCGTTGCCGTGGTTACATGCCCATCCTGATGCTCTGGATGATCTGGAAGATGGCTGCAGAAATATGAGACGTTAGATATGGTTCTCAAAGTGTGAAGCGCGAGACAACGTTCCCTTTTTTAAAAAACAACATCGAAGATAAAATGAGGTGATGTCACAAAGATAGTTTCAGTGCAGTTGCTAAGTGCTGTAGTTTGTATAAAGTGCTATGTGTGTGTTTATGTATGTGTGAGCGTGTATGTTTGAATTAGTCTAGGGTTCAAACACCTGTTGGTCATTTGATTTAGTGACCGGGTGCAGTGCTCCTGTGTTGCTCTTTGGACTTTGGACTGTGTGTGTGTGTGGTGTGTGGTATGTACATGTGACAGTGTTGCGAGGAAGTTTCCAAAGTAACGCAATTACTGTAATGTAGTAGACTTTAGCCGTTAGCCCCGCCTACACGTCAGCCGCATTATTTATTCATTTATTTTATTGTTTATTTGGTTGGGACAGTACATGTTAATGAACACATCACTCCGAATTGTAGCCATGGGCTAATTTGCATTCGTTGTCCCACATTCAAACTCACAAACACACACTCATTCACCCTGAACTATTGCACATGTTTAGTGGTAGGGGAAACCGGAGTACCCGGAGGAAACCTACGCAGACACGGGGAGAACATGCAAACCGGTTGAAACCGCGTAGTTTAAAATAGTCCACGTTCTTTGAAATAACAGCCATTTCGAGCCGCGTACTTTCCATAAGTGCAGCTCTGCGTTCTACAGGATCAGAGCCGAGACAGCTTCGGCACCTTTGCGCACAGAGAACTGCTGTTTTAATCTTCCCATTCTGCTGTGCTGCGGGTTAAAGCATTTTTAAGCAAAAGACGGCTCGTTCACAAGGTCAGAGCAGCGAGTGAGGAGCCGCGTCTCTCAGGTCTCCGCTTAAGTTTAAATACATGTGATGTGTGTGGAGCTGATCTAATGACAAGGACCATCAGCACAAACATGTTCCATGTGAAGCCGTGTATTTACGAGGATCCTTTGGGCTCCGTGACACAGAGGAGCGCGACAGACCGGTATGTGTGCAATACATGTATGTAGGGCTGGGGAATAAATCGATTTAGGCAATTAATCGGCTTTTGAAAAAATCTAATTTGTGAACAATTTGAAAATCGTGAAATTGAATGAAGGATAATGTGAGAGTTCCTGCAGCACATCAATTATACTTACAATATCACAAGTCTATGAAAGACGTTTATAATACGTAATGGGGGAAACAAATTAAAAATAGTTTTGTGAAACTTGAATATTGAGCAGAAAGATCAAAAATATTTTTAAGGGCAAAGTCTGTCTTCAGTGACTTCAATGAAAATCGATTTAAAATCGAAATCGTCCAAAGCAGGAAATAAAATCGAGATTTTACTTTTTTGCCATATCGGCCAGCCCTACATGTATGTGTGTATGTAAATATAAGCTCCAATGTAGTTTTGACCTGCACCAGTGTGCAACTAGCAGGCGGTAACAGAGGGGAGAGACGATGCGTGTGAATGTTACGTATCAATGGAGGGGGGGAAGTGTGTGTGTGTGTCTGTGCGCGCATGTGTGCGTGTGCATGTGTGCGTGCATATGTGGCACGTGCGGCGTGAGAGTCGGCCCGGCGTTGGCGCACACAGCTAGATACGGACCCGCTCGTCACATCGTCACATCGTGCAAATAGGGCTTAAACAGCCTCTTACGGTCCTTTTTAATCTTTCAATTCAAAGCAAAGAAATCCCACTTGTTTGGAAGTCTGCTTTTGTTACCCCTTTACTAAAAGGAGGTGACCCAGCTGTTTTAAGTAACTACAGGCCAATATCAAATTTGTGTGTATTGTCAAAAGTTCTTGAATCTCTTGTTTGTGATCAACTCAAAGAGTTCCTGCACTCTAATGAACTTCTCTCTAAACTGCAATCCGGCTTCAGGAAAAAGCACAGTACCATCACAGCTGCTACAAAAGTGATAAATGACATACTTGTTGCTCTTGATAAAAAGCAATATTGTGCTTCCCTTTTTATTGATCTGTCAAAGGCTTTTGACACTGTGGATCATGCTATTTTAAAGCATAGGCTTCTTTGTTTGGGACTGTCTAATCATGTTGTTTCCTGGTTCGCAAATTATCTGAGTCACAGGACCCAGTGTATTAAATGTGAGGGCCTGTGTTCTGAATTTTTGAATGTCCACAGGGGGTGCCACAGGGTTCAATATTAGGACCCCTTCTGTTCATCATGTATATTAATGAATTGGGACAAAATGTGTCTGACGCTAATATGCATTTTTATGCTGATGACACAATAATTTACTGTTTTGGAATTAACCCTGTTAAAGCTGTAGAATCTCTGCAGAAAGCTTTTGATGTGGTCCAGCACACACTTCTGCAGCTAAAACTGGTCCTCAACGCTGAAAAGACTAAACTAATGTTGTTTTCAAATACTAAGAAGGTTTCTCAAACGATCCCCTCAGTGTCCACTTTTGAAGGAAAAGTCATAGAGGTGGTTCACACTTACAAATACCTTGGTATATTGCTTGATGACTCCCTGAATTTCAAGCCCCACATAGACAATCTTGTGAAAAAACTTAAACTCAAATTGGGCTTTTTCTTTCGAAATAAATTTTGTTTTTCTTTTAAAGCAAAAAAGCGGCTTGTCACTGCAACATTTGTATCTATTTTAGACTATGGAGACCTGCTGTACATGAACGCGTCTGCTCAATGTCTACACAAGATTGACACTGTATATCATGCTTCTCTGAGGTTCATTACTAACTGTAGGGCCTTGACCCATCATTGTGAGCTGTATTCTCGAGTGGGATGGCCTTCTTTGTCCTCCAGGAGGCAGAGTCATTGGTATACTTTTATTTATAAAGCCATGCTTGGTCTACTGCCCTCTTACATCTGTAACCTAATCTCACGGAGGAGCGTTGGCTCTTATAGTTTGCGTTCAAATGATCATTTGTTGCTCACTGTTCCATTTGCCCGTTCAGAACTGGGAAAAAGGGCATTTGTTCACTCTGCTCCTTCTACATGGAACACGTTGCAAAAAGACTGGAAAATAACTGATCTTATTCCATTGAACGAATTTATCTACTTCCGGGTTTTTCGGGATCGCCTTTTCTCGCATTACATCAATGTTTTTGTCATGAAAACGGAAACGGAAAATTCGGAAAACTTCCGTGCACTTGTATTAATAATGTATATGTATAATGTACTCTCCGATTAACATTTAAATGCGTTGATTGATTGGCATTTGCGTTTAATGAGCGTGGCTAGCTCCGGAGTGGCCGGAACTACTTCCGGATTTTTCATGATCGCTTTTTGACGCAGATAAATAGTATTTTTGTCATGAAGACAAGACCAGAAATTATGAAAATCTCCGTGCACGTGTGTGAAGAATGTATATGCATAGGTATTGTGTGGCATTTGCGTTTATAGAGCGTGGCTAGCTCCGGAGTGGCCGGAACTACTTGCGGAGTTATCCATGCCTCTGAAATACAAGCAAAGAGTGCGTTGCTATGGGCAGCAGTCATTATTGTTTTGAGAGGTCCGTTATAGAAAATAATGACCGGTAGAACGTTTTGAAATTATATTCAAATCAATGGAGCATTTTACTGCTGCTGTGAGGAGCCGTGTAATAATCAAACATAAACAGTAGGAAGACTGTTCCATAAGTGCATTTCTCTTAACTGTAACAATCAGCAGCAGCTGCATCTTGTGTCCAATAGAAGTCAGTGTCTGAACTCAAAGGCTTCATTGGAAGCAATCGGGCAGGAGATCCTCCATTTGCTACGGGGCTTTATCTGCCAGTCACTAGAGTTGTTCCTTTTTGGTAGAAGACGGCTGAGGCTGAAGCATAAGCAGCACTACATGGACAATAGACAGACTCATCATTTAGAGTTTTTGGAGACAGAGATGTGGAACATAACAGTTATGTTCAAACCAAAAGCTCCATCAACCTCACACAAGCATCATAAGCTACATTTAGTTTGTGTATATATATATATATATATATATATATATATATATATAGAGCATACTTTTGAATGCACTGAAAACGGCAGCAAGTCCTGCTCCACCCAGCGGATACTCTACCTCTGCAGCAGTGACCTGTCCTGCTCCACCCAGAGACTACACCACGCAGTGACCTAAAGTTCTGTTGCATTTTTATAATTTAGTATTAGCTATTTTTTGAATTGTTCATTTATTGGTTTTGCTTGTATGGATGGATGTTTTTTCTGCTGCTACTGGACACCTGAATTTCTCCTACACGGGATCAATAAAGTATCTATCTATCCAAGCTACATTTAGTTATATACATTTAGTTATATATACATTTAGTTATATATATATATATATATATATATATATATATATATCATATATATATATATAATCACACAGTATATATATATATAAACTGTACATACAGTTTATATATATCATCATAAGCTACATTTAGTTTGTATTTATACATTTGGTGAAAGTAACTTCAAAGTAATGCAGTAGTTTTGTAACACTTTACAGATTGTAGTAACACGTTACTTTGAAACAACAGAAAGTAACACATCATTATTATGTTTTTAAAGTCACAAATCTGTCTCACCTGATCCACACACGACAAAGATGAACAGAGCCAAGAGCCAGGGCCCAACACCTTTGTCCTCCAGGGGCCTCTGCAATCACATGTGTCATGTTATACCACTATCAACACTAACCCACTAGCTCAATGCTATCCCGCTAGCTAATGATGCCAATAGGGAAGTGCTCAGGGTGAGGTTTGGTTCCTCTCTTTGGCTCCTATCAATTTCCATAAAAGTAAATTCCTCTAGCTCAGTAACGTTTGTGTGACATCACCATTTTGGGCTTAAATCTGTGGTTTATCGCTCTCTGTGATCCTGTGTTTATATGTGATGTTGTCTTTGTAGATCCAGTATGAGCCATACAAGGACTGACCAATCAGGAGCCTTCATTCAGGGGGAAACTCCAGTTTGTCTTAGCAACTGTCTGAGCAACACGTCTGCCCCTGTTAGAGCGCCAAGCTAACATCAGAACAAATGCCCATGTCACACTGTGGTGATGTCACACTGTGGTGATGTCACACTGTGGTGATGTCACACTGTGGTGATGTCACACTGTCGTGATGTCACACTGTTAAAGTAGAAAAAAACCTCACAGTTCAGACCTGAGACTGTAATTATTAACAAAAGGTAGTGACGCCTATCTCCATCATTGAAACTTATGTGACATCACTTCTCTCTCCTGCAGTCTTTTTAAAAATGGCGGGTGGCCCCTCCCTAAGGAAAATGTGAAAAAAAAAAAATGCATTTGCGCATGCCTTAGCTGCACAAGCACCATTCATTTAACGAGTGAAAAAAAATCCTCTCCTCAGCATCGACAGCATCTGGAACATAGCGTTGAACCAAGAGCAACTTTTGGACCATCCTGTAAAGACGTTTTCCAGAGGAAAGATGATGTCTTTCTGTTTCCTGTACAACACCAGCAGCAAGGAGCCAGATTAGAGACATGTCAGTGTCATGGACCCTTTTGAGCCAGGACCCGCTCCCACTGGGACAGACTCGTCCCCCTTGAGCACTAAGGCTTCGACACATATGAGACAGTCTGGCAGGAGATCCTCAGTGTGCTACGTGGCTAGGCCTGTCACGATAACAAATTTTGCTGGACGATTAATTGTCTCAGAAATTATTGCGATAAGCGATTATATTGTCGTTCTGAGATCATTTGCATCGATTAGAATGATAATGCAGGTACACCTTTTCAAAGAGAATAAACTTTTATTTTTAACGAATATTTAACGCTAGAACACAATAAATTAACAAACAACCAAAAACAATAAATAACATAGACTCAGTCTCTTAACAAAAAATGACCAGGAATAAAACTGCCAGGACCTTTGTAAAGAAAATATGAAACAGATGCCTCAAATGTCAATAATTTCTCAGACTTTATGACAGATTACAAGAAAGAAATACCAACATGTTGACTTTGTGTGGCTTAAGACAGGATCTCTCAGGAGTAGTCCCACCTCCCCACACACCACCAGGCGAATGACAAGTGACTGACATGTGGGTTCACCAATGGGGCGTACAGAAGTCCTGCTGCGGTAGCGCCCACCGGAAGTAGCGGGGCGGGCTTTGATGCTAACAGCTAAGCTAGCGGGTTTTTTGTGTAAAGTTCTACTCCAAGAATGCAAGTCTGCAGCATCTCTGTGTTCAGAGACCTTCTAGAGACTTTATATAACAGCAGTATGTGTTCACGGAGGTGCGCCATAAGTTTATTTTATTGGTATGATACGGTACTTCTGCATCGGCAAACACGCTAACGCTAGCTGCGCTAGTATAGTCACTAATCAAGCCTGAATGAGAACTCAGCTGCCGGCATATGTTCACAACTACTGTGTCCCCCATTGTCAATCCTGGTTAAGTCCTGGTTTAGGTCCTGTTTTGGCTGTATTTTGTATTTTTGAGTAATTTCCGTCTGCTTGCTAGACCGCTAATGTTCCCGTGACCACTTTGCGGCTCTCTGACCCGAGAGAGAGGGGGAGAGAGAGACGGGGGAAACAAACAAGCTGCAAATGGGATTTATCGCGGCCAGAAAAGTTATTGAGCAAATTTTATTTATCGTGCGATTAATTGATTTATTGACTATCGCGACAGGCCTATACGTGGCTTCATTGGCCCATCACTAGCAAACTGGAGACTTTTGAATGTTGCATTTTCTTAAAACTGTGTTTAAAGTGGTTCTCACCCCCGCTCCTCGGAGCTTACGTCACTCACATTTCCTGTTCAAATCTTCCTCTAAATGGGCGTAGCCTGGAGGACTGAAGGGGGCGTGAACGAGACTGGGCCGTTTACATAGCTCTGGGCGGGGGGCTGCTGACGTCAGGTCTTGCTTCAGACGTCAGGTCTTGCTTCAGACGTCAGGTCTTGCTGCCGCGCCAGTGTTGGCGCCAGATTCAAAATTCAAATGTAGTAATACAGGTCGCCAGCAGATGGCGCCTCACAGACGGTTTTAGGCAGAAAGTCTAACTTTCAACTAATTTGCACCAAAGTGACAAGATTATGACCAGGATATGTAGACAACACTATTAGACACTCATTTATACCGTTTATCAGCAAAAATTGGATAAACGGATATTGGATAAACGGATTGGATAAAATGGATTTGAGGGTGAGTTGTCCTTTAAGAGAAACTATTACAGCGAGATGAAAGGCTCTAGACAGAGAGAAAGAGAGTAGTTATCATTAAGAGGAAGAGTATTATTGTTGTTGTTACTATGACACTGGGGAACAAAAGCAAGGTTGACACGCACCTCCAAATCTGAGTAGCGTGCAAAAAGTCAAAAACAGTAAATGCTAAAATGGAGATGATTCTGCACAGCTTGAGCTCCCAAGGAATTATTTTGTTAGTACCACAAGATGTGACGTTTCGGGCAAAATCTACCCTTCATCAGACATGGCACTGGGGACATGATTGACAGCTGTTGTCTGAATAGCACTGACTCATCTTTTAGTGGTGTCACATTGAGCCAAACAAACATTTCAACAGGTTTAAAACTTTTAGTGTTTAACACAAAAGAAGTAAAGGATTAAAATCACAACAACTTTAACCCAACTAAGGGTCTAGGGTTAAACAACACGGTTAACCCTTACCTAGACCCTCATCCAGACCCTCATCCTCACCCAGACCCTCACAGGTCTAATCACTTTAAACCACTTCCACCCACTCTAAAACCGTCACTTTTTGCCTCCTGTGGATTCTGGGAACACATTGTAAGTCAGGACACAGCAGTTATTGCGGACTTTCTGCAGAGTTCGTCATATTGTGACGCTCAGGGCTCTCACCGTGGACTTGGTCACGTTGCCTCGGAGGGTGATGTTTTTGCTGTGCTTCTCGTTCGCCATCTTGATGCGCTGTTTGGCAACCATCTTGACCGCCTGAACTGAGCTGTTTTCTGGGAGTTTCGGGAGAGTTGTGGCGCTTCCTGGAGCCTGTTTCTCCGCTGGATCGTGGCCGAAGAGGAGACACTTCACTCAGCTTGTCTACGTCCTCACTCCGGAGCTCCACCCCCAGAAGCAGCCCGCCCACACAGCCGCCCACAGAGCACTCTGGCCTGGGTAAGCTGCTTACGGCCTCCCGCTCCGGAGCTCCAGGGTTCACCACAATAAAACTCTCCTGAAGAAAGTGCTTCAGAATAGAATTGAATTTACATTTCTGCGCAAAAGGAAAAGGGAGAAGAAGACGAGTCGGAATTTTGTGTGACGTAACACACATAGTATGTGATGTAACACACAGTCTGTGATGTCACCATAGACGCATGTGTTTTGTTTTGAAACCGGAAATATCCGTTTTAATCTGAGGCCGTTTTACTGAAAAGAAAATCATATTTTATAAAAGCTGTTTTTTGCGCCTACATGTGGCGTTTCTGCGCTTGCGCACTGCTCTTCCATATTTGAATAACTTTTTTATTATTTTTAGTTCGTTTAGTTTAGTTTGTGTTGAATTCTCTATAGTTTGACGCTGACGTGGCACTGCTTCGTGGCACTGATGTCATCACGCTGCTGTACGTAAAGATGGCGCCGCCCGTCCCGCTGTTGGCAGGTGCGTGTGAAACAAAGTCCTTTAAAGCAGTGTGAACTTTAAACTTTACCCCGAACGCCTAATCTAACGGTCTGTGTGAGAATGCAGTTTTAATTTCCCGACACGTTACTTTCCCGGGACTCGTTCCAACACAGTGGCACGCGGGCTGCAGCTCATGAGACCAGAGAGAGACCAGAGAGAGACCAGAGAGAGACCAGAGAGAGACCAGAGAGAGACCAGAGAGAGACCAGAGAGAGACCAGAGAGGGACCAGAGAGAGACCAGAGAGAGACCAGAGAGAGACCAGAGAGAGACCAGAGAGAGACCAGAGAGAGACTAGAGAGAGACCAGAGAGGGACCAGAGAGAGACCAGAGAGAGACCAGAGAGAGACCAGAGAGAGACCAGAGAGAGACCAGAGAGAGACTAGAGAGAGACCAGAGAGAGACCAGAGAGAGACCAGAGAGGGACCAGAGAGAGACCAGAGAGAGACCAGAGAGAGACCAGAGAGAGACCAGAGAGAGACCAGAGAGAGACCAGAGAGAGACCAGAGAGGGACCAGAGAGAGACCAGAGAGAGACCAGAGAGAGACCAGAGAGGGACCAGAGAGAGACCAGAGAGAGACCAGAGAGAGACCAGAGAGAGACCAGAGAGAGACCAGAGAGGGACCAGAGAGAGACCAGAGAGAGACCAGAGAGAGACCAGAGAGAGACCAGAGAGAGACCAGAGAGGGACCAGAGAGAGACCAGAGAGGGACCAGAGAGAGACCAGAGAGAGACCAGAGAGAGACCAGAGAGAGACCAGAGAGAGACCAGAGAGAGAATGTAGACCCTGTGTAGACCCTGTGTAGACCCTGTGTAGACCCTGTGTAGACCCTGTGTAGACCCTGTGTGAGGCCCCTGTGTTGTGTGTGCAGTGCGTGGCTCCCAGGGGACCTCTCTGTTTTCTGGACCAAAGTGTGAGACTTCAGCTTTTCCCACGTGAGTTTTATTCTGCAGCATCTCCATGAGAGATACTTGCAATGTAATATATTTCATAAATAATGTATAAATCTTCTGCTGCAGAGACCCTGCCTCCAGCCGCTCCCTGTGCTTCAGTGCAGATGGAGCTCTGTTCGCCTGGTGTAACTCCAGAGGGTAAATCCTGCTTTAGACCTGCTTTAGACCTGCTTTAGACCTGCTTTAGACCTACTTTTGTCCTGCTTTAGACCTACTTTTGTTCTGCTTTAGACCTGCTTTAGACCTGCTTTAGATCTGCTTTAGATCTGCTTTAGACCTGCTTTAGACCTGCTTTTGTCCTGCTTTAGACCTGCTTTAGTCCTGCTCTAGCCCTGCTTTAGTCCTGCCTTAGACCTGATTTAGACCTGCTAAACTCTCTCCCCAGAGTTCATGTGGTGAACACTGGTGATGGTTCGTCGCTGTTGACTCTGGAACTTCCCAAAACGGTTCTGATCCAGTTTTCTCCAAAGAACAACATCCTGTCGACATGGCAACCATATACCAGTAAGAACCCTGTCATCATAGTAACCATATACCAGTAAGAACTAGGTTTGAAATTAAAGTAATTGTAAAAAGTATGTATTTCTGGTTCAGTGCAGTGTTGTACCTGTGTGTGGCTCCTGGTACCTGTGTGGAACCTGTGTGTGACTGGGGTCTTTCCTGCAGCCTTCAAAGCGGCTGTGGTGAGACCCCTTCTGAAGAAGAGCAGTTCAGCCTTTAACAACTACAGACCGGTGTCCAACTTACCATTTTTAAGCAACATTTTAGAAAAACTTTTTTTACTCAGTTCAATGCCTTTTTAGATCAACAACCAATTTTAGAGACATTTCAATCAGGTTTTAGGGTGAAACACAGCACAGAGAATGCTCTTTTAAAGATTTTAAATGATTTTAGATTAAATTATGAATCTAAAAAGGTGACCGTATTGGTTTAGCGCTGCCTTCGAAGCAGTAGACCACACCATTCTTTTATCTCGTCTTAAACACCTTGGCCTCTGGTGCACTTCTTATTTAACACACAGACCTTTCATGGTAAGTTTGGATACCTGCTCCTCTCGGGTCCATACAATCACATGTAGTGTGCCCCAGGGTTCCATTCTAGGTCCAGTCCTTTTGGCGGTGCCATCACAAATAAAATCTGATTGATTGGTTGAAGTCTTGTACCTGTGTGTGACCTCTTGTACCTTTGTGCAGAATCGGCTCAGAGCACTCATGGAGAAGCTAACCTGCAGCTGTGGGACCTGAAGACTGGAGCTCTGCTGAAGGCTCTGTTCCAGAAGAAAATGGAGCAGTGGTACATACAGGGTCAGGGGTCACTTACTTGAGTTCGGTGAACTTTGACCTCCACAGTCTCTCGTTTGATTGACAGGTGTCCTAGCTGGTCGGAAGATGAGGTCATCGCTGTTCGCTGCGTCAACAACGAGCTGCACTTCTACGAAAACAACAACTTCAGTCAGAATATAAGCATTTATTAGTATGATAGCATGGCATTTGCATGGTTTAAGTACGTTAGCATGGTTTAATAAGCATGTTAGCATGGCATTAGCATGTTATCATGTAGCATGGTGTTAGCATGGTGTAAGCCTTTTAGCATGGCATTAGCATGTTAGCATGGTTTAAGCATGCTAGCATGGCATTAGCATATTAGCATGGTGTAAGCATGTTAGCATGCCGTCAGCATGTATATCATTCCGCTTGTTTAATATTTGTCATGTTTTTTAGACACAATCGTAAACAAACTGCACATGCAGAAAGTGTCTGACTTCAGCCTCTCACCGGGAGTTCAGCCGAGCAAGGTACAACCCCAATAACCCTCACCCTTTACCCCCAACCCCCTCCCTAACCGTTAATTAACACCCTAGGCGTTACAGCACGTGTTGTCGTGCAGCATACGTACGTGTGTAACATGTTTCCATTTTAACCATGGATCTGTTATTATAACTGGATAGGGTATTACTAGCTTGTAGCTGAATAATCCCCCGAGCTCATGTGCTCAGGGGATTCTCGCGGTACTGCAGACTGAACCAGACTGAACCAGATTAAATTCACGTGGGCTACCCAGAAATTTTCCCCATAGGACTCAATGCATATTAAAACAGCTCAACCTCAGCTGACAGAGAACCTACAGCTTTAATAAAGATAGGATTTTGTGGGGATGTTAGTGTCCCTTGTCATCCTGAACTTTTTTTCTTCTTAAATCCTTCGGTTTTGTTTAAATCCACACTTTAGTTCCACAAACTCTGCTCGTCTGGCTCTCGCTCTAACTCCCGCTCTGATGAACTGCTCTGATTGGTCAGAGCGCGGCCGAGCCCCTCTGTGCACGTGCGTGAGACCTGGTGTGAGACCCACACAAGCGTGTTTGGCGCAATGCATTATGGGAGATCATCCACTGCGCAGAACCGGGAGGACCGGACGATGCCCAAATACAGGCCAGTTTCCCATAGATCTTTGCGAGTTCCAGGCGACTTCCGCTAATCTTTCAGCCCCCATGCCGTCACAAAGCGCCACTGAGCACAACCATTCATTTGAATAGGGCGCCATCTTGGATCGCCGGGGCTTGATTTTAACCTATGGTGATATTTACAGTAGTGTTTCCTCCTCTCGTGTGTGTCTCATACACAGCAGCTGAAGGAATATGAAGGAAGCGCAGGTGGTGTAGTGTCCGTGGCATTTCATACAGCAGTGGAGACGGCATCTTTTGTTGTCATTGAACATCGCTTTATACCAGAGACTGTAGACTCTAAACTTTATATGCACCTAAAAACAAAACAGATTCCTGAGTCGAGGCTTTTCTTAGCGAGAACTCTTGCAACTGTGCACGAGGGAGAGATCCGCGTGTCGCTGAAATGGAACAATTGACTTACTGTAATCAGGGATATTTTTTTAAATCTAAAATGTTGCAGAAGCACTTTGTTCCTCTATGCAGTGCCTTGAGTTGTCATTTTATTTTTGAATGAATATATGTTACCGGAGTGTGACTTCCGGTAAGCAGTACTGCAGGGCTGCTCTGTGCACCTTTTTAGTAAACTTTTAACAACTTTTTAGCGCGTTTTTATTGTTCAGTTTTTTAATATATCTGAGTGTTTTATGTTATTAATTCAGTGGTTTCAGCAAATAGCGCTTAGTCCCGACTGAAACCCACTAGTAGCACAGAGGCTAACACAAGCTAACGAGGACATGGAAAGTGACAATGAAATTGGCTCAAACATGCACAATATTAGTCGCCTCACCTTGGAGCTCCGTGAGAGCGACCGTGCCACCATTGCAGAACTACGAAAAGAAGTCCTTCGTCTCACCGCAGAGTTGAATGAGAAACAATCTCTAGTGTCCAAACTTTTTGAAGTCGCTGGTGGGCAGCATTCACGGCTTATGTCACTGAGCGCTGCATATTGTGACACTGTCGTGTGGGAGAGATCCGTCAGCTCCGGACCCTCCTGTTCTACACCTAAGCGCCCGGTTCCGAACAACGAGCCCGCGGATTCCGAGGAGCCATCCTGCGCCGTGGCCCATGTCCTTAGTCTGGCAAACCGCTATGCAGCCCTCTCCACTGACATCCCGGCCCCCTCAGCAGAATCCCTGGACACTGCAGCGTACTCTACTGCCCGAGGATCCAAGTCCACTGCGAGGAAAACGCTCCTAAAGGAAGCAGTCCTCAGGCGAAAGAGCGGTCCACCAGCCATGTTGGCCTGTTCCCCTTCTTTGACCCCAGTGCAGCAGCCTCAGACTGGGGTAGCGAGCCATCATTACCATCGCTCACCTCCACCGGGTCAGCAGCAGCGCCCAGAGCCAGCCCCGCTCACCGCTCCAGCGTCCCCGAGCACACAGCGTGGGTCGCCTGTAGCTGAGAGTCAGCACCCCCGCTCCTCCTCTCCATGTGTTCAGCGGCGCTCAGGCTCGGGTCCTGCTTCGGGTAAACCCGCTGGTTCCGTCCACCGAGCTCCTTCTCCGAGGCCGCGTCCACGTCCACTCTTCGCCCCGACCACTCTGATTATTGGAGATTCCATCGTGAGACACGTCCGCTTCTTTAACGCGGTCACTCGCTGTATTCCCGGAGCTACTGTACCAGACCTGCTCATCCGTCTCCCTCCTCTGCTTCAGTCCCTGCCTGATACCGTTTCCAAGGTAGTCGTGCATGTGGGAATTAACGACATGAAACTTCAGCAGTCAGAAGTCACTAAGAAACATTTTATGGATCTGTTCCACCTCCTTCAATCCACGGGATTATCTGTTTTTATCTCTGGTCCAATCCCGACTGTAAACAGAGGTGACTGCCTCTACAGTCGTGTTGTGGCGCTGCATATGTGGATCCAGGCTACATGCAGCTCTTTTAACTTTGTCTTTGTGAATAACTTTGCCCTTTTCTGGAAACGTCACGAAGCCTATCGTCCAGACGGATTACACCCAAACAGATACGGTAGCAGCCTGTTGATGGACTACATACGTTATGTTGTTCAGTGCTCCCCGAGGGGGGCGTGACTGTTTACATCTGAGCCCCCTCGGACCCCACCGCACTCCCCCTCCTCCTGCTCACCAGCACCGGGTGAGTACAACGGTGCAAACACTGCTCCCTGTCCGTCTGGCAGTGTATTACCAGTCCAAACACTGAACTGTGCTGACTCCCTTCTGACTCTGGGAGCTAAAGAACAACAAGGGTTTTCACATTTTAGTCCAATTGAGACTGTGTGTGTTCCTCGCACCAGCTCAAAAATGTTTTTAAATTCTAAAAAACGAAATCAAAACAGGACAGCAGTTAGACGGTCCAACTCTGCAAATCTAATTTCTGTTCCCTGTAGAAATCAATCAACCACATTAATCGACTCTGATGTTATTTTTAAACTTGCTATGCTTAATGTCAGATCTCTATGTAACAAATCATTTTTAATTAATAATTTTATCACTTCTTATGATCTTGATTTTATGCTTATGGCTGAAACATGGCTGGACCAAAATACAGGAAATGCAGTTCTAATAGAAGCAACACCACCCAATTTTAAATTCGAATCCGAAGTACGAGAAAACAAAAGGGGGGGAGGCATAGCTGCAGTTTTTAGAGAGCACTTTGTCTCCCATAGAATGCCCCTTGGAAATTTTTCATCGTTTGAGTATATTTCTTTTAAAATGGAACAAAAGCAATCTTCTACTCTTTTCATTGTCCTGTACAGGCCACCACAGTCATGTTGCGATTTTATTGACCATTTTACTGAACTACTTTCATTCGTGTGCACAGATTTTGATAGTTTAGTTATTACAGGTGATTTTAATGTACATGTTGATAATGTTGATGACAGAAATGCAAAGGAGCTGGCTTCTGTACTTGAGACCTTTGGTTTCATTCAGCACGTGAGTGGCCCCACCCACAGCAGGGGGCACACTCTTGACCTGCTAATTACAAAGGGGGTTAATGTATCAAATGTTAATGTAGTTGATGTTGCTTTGTCAGATCATTTCTGTGTATTTTTTGACATGTGTTTTGCTAGCAAACCACCAGCTGAATTTACAATTGTTAGAAGAAGACACATACATGAAAACACAGGTGAACTGTTCATGGGAATGCAAAATTTTGAGAAAACTCCATGCTCTACTGTTGATGAATTGTATAACTCTGTCACCACCAGTGTTCTGACTGTTCTGGACGCCATTGCTCCTGTGACGGTTAAAATAGTTACCAGTAAGAAAAAGGCCCCATGGACTAAGGCAGACTCGGTCAGGGCACAGAAGCAAGAGTGCCGGAGGGCCGAACGGAAGTGGCGAAAGTCCAATTTCCAGGGCGATTATGAAATCTTTAAAGATGAGTTGGGTGAATTTAACCGGGTTCTACGAAGAACAAGAGAAATGTATTTTTCTGACATTATTGGAGGTTGCAGTAACAATTTTCGTGTTATGTTTTCAACAGTTGGTAGATTAACGAACCCCCCTGTAAAGTTGCCCCTAGAATTTTCCTCTAAATCTAGGTGTAATGAGTTCGCACAGTTTTTCGATGACAAAGTACAAGGAATCAAAAACACTATCACCTCCACAGCACGTATAACAATGCAACAGCCAGAGAAGCTTTTTGAGCTAACTCACTTTGCACCTGTGGATACTGAAACTGTCAAAAAGATAATCATGAGTCTGAGCTCCTCCACATGTAGCCTGGATATATTGCCCTCTAAATTTCTGAAGTCCGTCCTGAGCAGTTTGTTACCTTCACTGACACAAATAGTAAACATGTCTCTGTCGTCAGGAACATTTCCTATGGCCCTAAAAACAGCAGTCATAAGACCTCTCCTAAAAAAGAGCAGTCTGGATCCTGCGGGACTTACAAATTATCGCCCCATATCGAATCTGCCATTCATTGGAAAAATTCTTGAAAAAGTGGCCTCCCAACAACTTACTGAATTTTTAACAATGAATAATTCTTTTGATATGTTCCAGTCTGGGTTTAGACCCCACCACAGCACTGAGACCGCTCTAGTGAAGGTAACAAACGACATTCGACTTCACACTGATGCAGGTAAAGTCACAGTTTTGGTCATGTTAGATCTTAGTGCCGCGTTCGACACTGTCGACCATGAGATCCTCATGCAGAGACTGGAGGACTGGGTTGGTGTCACTGGCACAGCCCTAGACTGGTTTAGGTCTTACCTGGAGGATAGGAAGTACTTTGTGGAGATTGGAGACTGCGTCTCAGATCATGTGGCCCTGACCTGTGGAGTACCACAGGGGTCGATCCTGGGACCTCTCCTATTTAATCTCTACATGCTGCCGTTAGGTCAGTTAATACAAAGAAACAAAGTGTCCTACCACAATTACGCCGACGACACTCAGATCTATGTCTCACTGACTGCAGGAGAACATGGACCACTGGATTTGCTCCTTCACTGTATCCAACAGATCAGTGAGTGGATGCAAAATAATTTCCTCCAGCTAAATGCAGACAAAACCGAAATCATTGTCTTTGGTCCCCAGAAACAAAGAGAGGGCGTCATCTGTCAACTTCAGTCTCTCTCCCTACTTCCTTCAGACAAGGTCAGAAATTTGGGGGTAATACTGGACTCAGACCTAAATTTCAATAGCCACATAAAATCAATAACATCAACAGCTTTTTACCATCTGAAGAACATTGCCAAAGTCAGAAATATAGTGTCCAGGGCAGACTTGGAGATTCTTGTCCACGCATTTGTCTCCAGCAGGCTAGACTACTGCAATGGCCTGCTTACAGGTCTGTCCAAACAGACCTGTAAGCAGCTGCAGTACATCCAAAATGCAGCAGCTAGAGTCCTGACAGGAACCAGGAAGTATGACCATATTAGTCCGGTCCTCAGGTCTCTGCACTGGCTTCCTGTGGCTCAAAGAATAGATTTTAAAACAGCTCTGCTTGTGTACAAGTCTCTCCATGGCCTTGCACCAGAATACATTAGTGACATGTTGGTGTCATATGAACCAGCCCGGACTCTGAGGAGCACAGGGACTGGCCTCCTGCTGGTGCCCAGAGTGAGAACCAAACATGGGGAGGCTGCGTTTCAGATCTATGCAGCTAAGATCTGGAACAATCTCCCTGAAAATGTGAGGGAGGCGTCTACTCTGTCAATGTTCAAATCCAGGTTAAAGACTGTTCTGTTTGCCTGTGCATACAACTGAAGGATTTTATCTCCATTTGTAATGCACTGCTGTCATTTATTTATTTATTTTTTTTAAATTTCTTGTGTAACTTTGAAAGTGTTAATGGTTTTATTCTTTTGTGTGATTTTATTGTTTTTATTGTGTTTTAATCTTTTGTGTGATTTTAATGTTTTAATTGTGATTCTGGTGTTTGTTTTATGTGATTTGTGATGTGGACTGTGAAGCGCTTTGTGTTGCCCTGTGCATGAAAGGCGCTCTACAAATAAACTTTGATTGATTGATTGATATGCTATATGTTTAATTTCTTCATTTACAGAGGAAATTAAAACAAATGTGACAGAAGCACTTTGTTCCTACTTGAACTGACTACCTATGAGATTCAATAAAGTTGTTTTTGCAGGGTTATTTATCCTGTAAAAATATCAAGACATATACTGTATATTGAGAGGCAGGCAGGCAGGCCTTAAAAAATATCCTACAATGTGAATTCCTGGATCTATTTAAGTGGGAGAACTTGCACAATCGGTGGCTGACTAAATACTGTTTTGCCCCACTGTATATATTACATATATATCTGTTGCAGATTGCAGTGTATGTGCCGGGCAGTAAGGGGGCGCCTTCCTTCGTCAGACTGTATCAGTATCCAGTGTTAGGAGGTCCCACCGCAGCACTCGCCAACAAGAGCTTCTTCAAAGCCGACAAAGTAGATCTGAACTGGAACCGCAAAGGTACCAATATGTGACTCGCAAGTGTTTGTGGCGAGAGCTTGGCGGGAGCATGTCGAGTAATCCGGTACTCTGCTGTACTCTCAGTAACCCGGTTCTCTGGTTGCAGCCTCTGCCGTCCTGGTCACTGCCAGCACAGATGTGGATAAGAGCGGAGCGTCTTATTACGGAGAACAGACTTTGCACTTTCTGAACGTGAACGGAGAAACTGCACTGGTGCAACTAGGTTAGTACTGATGCTACTGCTGATCCTGCAACTGTTGCTACTGCTGATGCTGCTGCTGTGGTTGCTGATGCTGCTGCTTAACCTGTCCCATGTGATGTCTGACCTCAGGGAAAGCGGGGCCCATCTATGACGTGGCGTGGAGCCCGAGCAGCGGTGAGTTCTGTGTGGTTTACGGCTTCATGCCGGCGAAGGCCACGGTCTACAACCTGCAGTGTGACCCAGTGTTCGACTTCGGGACTGGCCCCAGGAACGCTGCCTACTACAGGTCTGTCCAGGAACTTGATAATCCCACCTCATACAAATACAGAAATGTAATATTCATTTTTTTAGATAAGTTCCTTACACCATAGACTCATATACTGCTGTCAGTCCTCAGGGACCATAGACTCATATACTGCTTTCAGTCCTCAGGGACACATTCTGGTCCTCGCCGGCTTTGGAAACCTCAGAGGGCAGATGGAGGTTTGGGACGTCAAGAAATACAAGCAGGTGAATACAGAGGAACCATGAGCCTCTTGTCTGCATCTGGGATTAGCGCTCTCCTTGTTGGGTTTGAGGCCGTAGACCCGGGACTGGGGCCGTAGACCCGGGACTGGGGCCGTAGACCCGGGACTTGTGGGTTTAGATAGATGGACGTGTCTTGGTAAATCTGCTGTAGTCCATATCGTTCAAAGAGGTGTTCAAACTTTGTATAACTTAAACTTGACCTCTAATCTCTGTGTGCTCCTGGTACTCCATCCTTGACCTCTGCCCTGCAGGTCTGCAAGCCTCAGGCTCCTGACTCCACCCACTTCTCTTGGTGTCCTGATGGCGAGCACGTTGTCACGGCGACCTGTTCCCCTCGGTTACGAGTGTCCAATGGGTTTAGAGTGTGGCATTACACTGGTGCTGTGCTCCACCAATGGGAGGCCGGGGAGGCGGAGCTATGGGAGGTCCGCTGGCAGAGCGCCCCCTACGGCAGATACCCAGAACGACCAATCAGTACACAGACCACGCCCACCGCTCTGGGCTCCACACAAGCTCCGCCCACACAGGCATACAGGCCTCCTGCACTGAGACATCTGCCGCCTTCTAGCTCCAGCAAACTGGTACTGCACGTTATACTGCTATTACTATTAATACTACTGCACTTTATACTGCTATTACTACTATTAAAGCTGCACTAACTGACTTTATTTTTGTATTAATTACAAAAATGCTATCCATGTCCATGCAGTGCATTGGGATATACGTCCTTTTGAAGAAAAAGTAGCGCAGGGTTTGTGCTGGCGTGACATATTTTACATCGAGTTTTGATGAAACAAGGAAGAGAATGTGTTTAGGGTCGCAGATTGTGACCAATCACAGCGGACCACTGGCCCCCACTTTCGTGAGAAATCTACAGGTCCCTCTTAGCACAGACAGCTGAGTTAGCACAACAAGCCGAGGAGCTAACCTGAAGCTTCCTCGTCTTCGTCACCGGTTACTGCTTACTTAGCGAAACAGCCATCCAAAGAAAGTCCCGTTCCTCCGCGCTTCCCGGTTCTATCGTTCTATGGTCACGCGATCCACGTGCAAATCCATATCCATGGATTTATCCATTTTGGGAGACGCTTGCTCCGTAAACAGTGGGTGTGCGGTATCTTTGTGGGTGCGGGGAGGGGAAGAGAAAGAGCGAGGCCAGCGAAACCGCTGCTTCAAAGTCCCAAAGTCAGTGCAGCTTTAATACTACTACACTTTATACTGCTATTACTTCTTTTAACACTACTGCACTTGATACTGCTATTACTATTAATACTACTGCACTTTATACTGCAACTGCCAATATGTTGATTATGTGACCTGTACCATGTGGCAGCACGAGGAGGAGCCCCCCCAGAGTCTTCGTCCTGAGAAGAGTTTGTCAAAGAACGCTTTGAAAAACCAGCGCAAGAGAGAAGCCAAGAGAAGCGCCAAGATGGAGGCTCCCGACAGCCAATCAGAGCCTAGTTGCCCACCAGAGCCCGCCCCCAACAGCCAATCAGAGCCTAGCAGTGGCGACCCAGAGACTGACAAGAAAATCAAGAACCTCAAAAAGGTGTTTGCATGTTCTCCCTGTATCTGTGTTCACTCTGGTCTCTCTCACTTTGGTCTCTCCCACTTTGGTCTCTCTCTCTCTGGTCTCTCTCTCTGGTCTCTCTCTGGTCTCTCTCTCTGGTCACTCTCTCTGGTCTCTCTCTCTGGTTCTCTCTCTCTGGTTCTCTCTCTCAGGTCTCTCTCTCTGGAGTCCCTCTGGTCTCTCTCTCTCTGGTCTCTCTCTCTCTCTGGTCGCTCTCTCTAGTCGCTCTCTCTGGTCTAATGTCCCTGTTTGTTTCAGAAACTTAAAGCTATAGAGGATCTTAAGGAGCAGCAGCGTTCAGGGAAAACGCTGCAGAAAAACCAGCTGGACAAACTCCAGAAGGAGCATCAGCTCCTGGAGGAGCTCCAGGCTCTGAGCCTGTAGAGCCCGGGACCGGGACCAGGACCATTGTGGGTCCTCCTGGTGCTCTGGTTCTATGCAAACAGTAAACTGTACAGAAGTCATTTCACAATAAAAATTGGTTTTGAATTTAGTCTTTATTTTGAAATGTTTTAAATGTTCATATCAAGGCTGCAGTAAAGCTGGGGTCTGTAACATTAGTCTCATAACCAACACATGCTAAATATATATATTTTTAAATTAATTGATTTTATTTCTTTCAAACCTGCCCAATACATGTTTACATATATCGATATAACAAACAAATAACCCGAACCTGGTTTGAAAAGGAGTTGGATGAAGCAAATGCTTATTTGGTTCCAACCCCATCAGACAAAGTGTTTTAACAATATCATGCAGTAGAATTCTCAAACATACAACGGTACATTACAAACCGTTATACCATCGGTGGTACTATTGTATAAGACAGACAACGCTAAACACACACACACACACACTCTGACAACGCTGACACCAGGATACCAATAAATAGTGGTATCCCGGGTCTCCCTGTCTGGGAGCAGATCCCTCCCTCACTGTGGACCACCAACTCCCTCTGGTTAGAGTTGTTCCTTTGATGCAGGAGGCTCTAGGGACATAGGCTGTTTTTTATCTTTGCGTGGCTAGCTAATACAGTAAGGCAAGCTAACAGGAGTAAATATTTTTGATCATTGTTGTGAGACCAGTATGGAAGACCAAAACTGTCAAAAATAATAAATACATTTCACAATCTGCAAATTATTAATATAAAGATACAAGTTATGAAATGTATTTGAACAAGTTTTGAACAAAAAAAAACGTTGAATCATAATATCTATTTATTACATAACATTTGTAGGGCTATCTTAATATTTGCAGATTGTGATATTTATTTGTTTATTATTTTGACAGTTTTGGTCCTCCAAAGACCCTGACCCTCTGACACCATAGACTGTAATTATTGAATTGCACCATAGATGGCACTATAGACGTATAAATAGTCTAGCATAGTAATATAATGTAGATTATATAAATCTATTGCACTTTATATGTGTGGATAGCACAAGCCTTTGCGTTGTTGCGCTGACGCTGACGTACAGCAGGGGGCAGTGGAGCATGTGACACGTTCATCCAATCGGGGCCCATCGCGGAAGTGTTCATCTTCACGCTGGAAACGGAGCAAAATGAGACTTTAGTGCTTCACTTTAGTTACTGTATCATGATAGTATCATTTTTAAAGTGTTTATAATATTGTACCGGATACATGCAGCGGGAAGAGGTGAGCCTTCAGCTAACACACAACAGCAGAGACCTGGTTCAGACGTAGTGGTAGTCTTTATTTCGAATTATTAACTGTGCAATACAAACCCCCCCCCCAACAAAAACAAATATACATATAACTCAAAGAGGAGTAGGTCCATTTCTGGGTTGGGGGGGTGGCTATCAGAGATGCCACCCAGTACACATAGCACCAGCCCCTCACTGATCGTCCTGCAGGTGGTGAGTCCACAGGAGCCTTGATCTTCCAGCAGGGGCGTCAGGCAAAGTGGGGTTAAGTGCCCCTAACCCTCTTTCCCACGGACCCAACGACAGCTGTCATCAGTGTTCAATATATTCAATTATATTTACAGTCAGAACTTACATAAACATCAGATATTTTACTTAAATATAATTCATTACTATTCGTTAAATACACACTTGTTACCATAAATCATATTTTAAAGGCACATTAATGACAAATGATGTTTTAATCTAGGGTCTTGTTGTTGCCATTTCTACTCAATAATTTTATTTAATTTTAACATGTTTATGTATGTAGGTCCTGTAGAGAGGGTAGGCTGTCTACAGGGCCTTCTCTCATGGTGCTTTCAGACCGGATCATGCGTTGCGTCGGCTTTCATTGCAAAGTCTATGGTGACGAGCGTTCGAGCGTCACAACGCACGGACCTCTTGGCACGCACGGACGGACTGTTCAGTAGACATGCACAGACTTGGTGGTAAAGTCAAAGGGGAGCAGGAGCGAAAAATTGACGCCCACAGGAGATGGATTCTGCTCATCCTTTCCTTGGGACGTTCATGCAGCAACCAATCAGAGAGCCGCAAAGTGGTCACGGGGACATTAGCGGACTGAGCGAGCAGACTGAAAATACTCAAACAGCCAAAACAGGACCCACACCAGGCTTCACCAGAACTCAAACCAGGGTTGACAATGGGGGACTCTGTGCTTGTGAATATATGCGTTGTCATGCTCCCGTGACCTTATGCAACTGCTTCGAGTGTGTTCGCCGATGCGGAAATTCCGTTTAATAATATGAAAACACGTATGGCGCACCTCCGTGAACACGTACTGCTGTTATATAAAGCCCGTGGAAGGTCTCTGTTCAAAGACACGCTGCAAAGCTGCATATTGGAGAAGATCTGTACACAAGAAGCCGCGAGCTAAACTCTGTTAGCATCATAGCCTGCCGGCTACTTCCGGCACTTCCTGTGCGCGTCAGGACATCTTGGTGTGAAGACCCGTGCATCCGAAAACTAGAGAATACGCGTCTGGTGAGCGGGGCTTCAGCGTTTCAGTGTTGGCGGTCTGAAAGCACCATCAGGAGAAGGCAGTAGCCTCGGCCCGCCCCCAACCTCCCTGACCAATGGAAATGTGGCCCCGCCCCCAACCTCCCTGACCACTGGAAATTTAGATAATGTTTGCATCCGACGCTCTCACGCCCTGTTTACGGAAGCGCTGCGACAATAAATCGGTAGGGTTGGAAATACGTTTGACCTTCCGTTTACATGAAGACGGTATTTCAGGGGGGTAGACACAAGCTTTGAGAACCAGCCTACTGAGTGGAACAGAACAGATACGCTCCAGCGGGGCCTGTTTAACAGCCGCTTGAAGATAGCTTCTTTAACAAATTACATTAATTACACATTTTGTTACATACTCTACCACCTTAGCCACATTTGTTGAATAGAGTATGTAGTTATAGGATGTAGTTTTGATTTGTTTTTTATAAACCATGATTTGTTTGACTCTAAGTGCATTCCATGACTTTTGTTATTTAAAGATGTTCCTTTCAGATTGTACTTCAGATGTTTGCTAGTTTATGTTTTGGCCTTAAACAGAATTGATAATTCACAATGAGAGAAATTTGCCTACTTTGACTAAAAATAAACACATCCACGTTGGCGAGCGCTGTCTTGTTTTGAACTGTGGAGTAACCACGTAATACTTTTTCATATCAGTAGGTGGCAGCAGATAGCTAAGTACTTTGAAACGTAGGAATTGGATGCAAGCACTGGAGCGGGAGCATGGGCTATTTGCACGCACAACTTCCGGGTTTTAGTTATAACCCCACTTGACTTCCTGTACGAGGGGAACAGCTTGAGTTTCACTGGAGTTCAGCAGATGTTTACACGAGTTTCCTAAATAATGCTCAAACTTGAATTAAACTGTGAGGATACTGGGCATTTTTGTGACACAGCAGTGCTCTTTGATTGTGCTGTCATTGTGTTTTTATAAAGTTAACTGATCTCTCTTGAGTGGCCACAGTTAAAGCTATTCCTCAGAGAGAAAGCACAGCGACACTTTTGGGTCAGTCTCACAGCTGAATGTATCAATCTAATTACTAAAAAGCGTCACTACAACTCACCTAAAAGCCATAGCGATAGCATAGACAGGAAGTGAACGGGCTGTTCTCTGTTAACAGGAAATGACGTCACGCCTCCCCGTGCATATAGCCCATTGCCGCCCCCGTGCCGCCCCCGGCGGCACGGGGGCGGCAAGAAGTGAAAGTGATTGTGATTGAGACGTTTTTGGAAAGGAATTATGCCATTTCTTAACTGGATTCACATCCTCTGACCAGAACCATAAACGTGCATGGACAGAACCATAGACGCGCGCAGCCAGAACCATAGACGCGCGCAGCCAGAACCATAGATGCGCGCAGCCAGAACCATAGACGCGCGCAGCCAGAACCATAGATGCGCGCAGCCAGAACCATAGACGCGCGCAGCCAGAACCATAGACGCGCGCAGCCAGAACCATAGACGCGCGCAGCCAGAACCATAGACGCGCGCAGTAGGGATGTAAATCGGCGACCGTTTAACCGGTGATTGACCGTCACAGCGTTAACCGGTCAAAGCTGTCGGTTAAAAAAGAGAAAAAGGGGAGAGGGGAGGTCTCCCATGTATTATAAACTCCGGGACGACTCTCACGCCGCACGAGCCACATATGCACACACGCATGCGTGCACGCGCACACACACACACACACACTTTCCCCCTCTCCATACGTAACATCCACACGCATCATCTCTCCCCTCTGTTACCGTCAAAGTTGCACACTGGCGCGGGTCAGAACTACATTGGAGCTTACATTTACACACACACACATATACATACACACACACATACATACACACATACATACACACACACATACACACACACACATACCGGTCTGTCGCGCTCCTCTGTGTCACGGAGCCCAAAGGATTCGCGCAAATACGCGGCTCCAGTCAAACCACATGGAACATGTTTGTGTTTATGGTCCTCGGGATCAGCTCCACACACATCACTTGTATTTAAACTTTTGTGAAGACCTGTGAGACGCGGCTCGTCACTCGCTGCTCTGACCATGTGAACGAGCCGTCGTTTGCTGCTAGAAAGTTTTGGTATTAACCCGCAGCACAGCAGAATGGGAAGATTAAAAAAGCAGTTCTCTGTGCGCAAAGGTGCCGGAGCTGTTGCGGGTTTGGTGCCGCTGTCTCAACTCTGATCCAGTAGAACGCAGAGCTGCACTTATGAAAAGTACGCTGCTCGAAATGGCTGTTATTTCAAAGAACGTGGACTATTTTAAACTACGCGGTTAACCGGTTTCAACCGGTTAATGAGGCTCGGTGGTCGGTCATGAAAATTCATAGTTTTTTACATCCCTAGCGCGCAGCCAGAACCATAGACGCGCGTAGCTAGAACCATAGACGCGCAGCCACCATAGACGCGCGGACAGAACCATAGACGTGAGCAGACAGAACTATAGACGCGCGCTGACCGAACCATAGACGTGCGGACAGGACCATAGACGCTCGGACAGAACCTTAGACGCTCGGACAGAATCATGGACGCGCGAACATCGGACCATCTCTCGTGTCTCCTCCCGTGCATGGACAGAACCATAGACATGCATGGACAGAACCATAGACGTGCATGGAACCATAGACGTGCATGGACAGAACCATAGACGTGCATGGAACCATAGACGTGCATGGACAGAACCATAGACGTGCATGGAACCATAGACGTGCATGGACAGAACTATAGACGCGCGCTGACAGAACCATAGACGTGCATAGACAGAACCATAGACGTGCGGACAGGACCCTAGACGTGCATGGACAGAACCATAGACATGCATGGAACCATAGACGTGCATGGACAGAACCATAGACGTGCATGGAACCATAGACGTGCATGGAACCATAGACGTGCATGGACAGAACCATAGACGTGCATGGAACCATAGACGTGCATGGACAGAACCATAGACGTGCATGGAACCATAGACGTGCATGGACAGAACCATAGACGTGCATGGAACCATAGACGTGCATGGACAGAACTATAGACGCGCGCTGACAGAACCATAGACGTGCATAGACAGAACCATAGACGTGCGGACAGGACCATGGACGTGCATAGACAGAACCATAGACGTGCGGACAGGACCATGGACTCGTGCTCCGGACCATCTCTCGTGTCTCCTCCCGAAGCACAACCAAAACTTCTGAATTTAAAGCTCGGATACCCACATTTTCTCCATGCATTAACAATGCATGTTATTTGTGCACAAAAGTAAAATTTCATGAACAAATAAAACTGAACATGCAAAAGGCCATTTTTTTATTATTATTTTGCAGATTTAAGAGCCCCGTGAGTCATTGTTTGACTTTTTGGGCTGAGAGTAGATTTTTGTATGTTTTTTTCCACACAGTTAGTGCCTCTTTATTACCAAACTCTTGTTAACTCATTGTATTGAGAAATATTAAACCAAGCTTAAGGTCAAGGCCTGGATGTTTATTTAAGCACTTTTATGATAATTACTTTATATTGTGAATATAGGCTACAGAGTTTTACATTTTCTCCTGGTGGTGTGCTGTGAGATTTCTTCAATGAAAAAAGTGTGCCTTGGCTCAAAAAAGATTGAAAAACACTAAGTGGATAGTTTTAACACCCTACACTCTGTAAAAAGTTTGTTGAATCTCGATATCTTTTGCTGCATTGTACTATTCTCAGCTGTTTGCAAAATGAATTTTGGATTTGTATGTTTTAAATGTTGCTCCCAAATTTCTACTTTGTCCTGGTTCAGTCCTGGTCCTGGATCAGACCTAGTTCAGACCTACGTTATGGAGTTTGGGGACGCAACCCTCATGGAGCCTGTGTGGGTCAGCTCTAATCCTCTGTTGCAGATGGAGCTGCTCTGGTCGGTGCAGGAGCTGCGTGCAGTGAGGGGGAGTGGCCTGATGGGGGCGATGGTGGGGGCTCTACCTCGAGCTCCGAGACAAAATGGCAGACTGGGACGCCCTCTAGTGCTGATGAGGGAGGAGAGCAGAGAGAGGGCTAATGCTGACAGAGAGACTAATAGAGAAGCTAATGCTAGCACAGAGGCTAATGCTAGAAGTGACGCTAATGATAGTACAGAGGCTAATTCTACCAGAGAGGCTAATGCTAACAGAGATGCTAGTGCAAACGGAGAAGATAATGCTAACAGAGAGGCTTGTGCTAAAAGAGAGGCTAATGCTAAGAGAGAGGATAATGCTAAGGAGGCTAATGCTGAGGAGGCAAACGCCAAGGAGAGACAGGTAATTTTTCAACAGTTCTGTTTGTGTGAATGGTACAATCATCAATGAACATATGAAGGTGGGACCAATGCTGTAAACTGTGATTGGTCAGGAGCAGCAGTGGGAAGAGTTTGTGGGGAGAAGTCTGGAGCAGCAGCAGCGATTGGCTCTGGAGGACAGGAAGTGTGCGCTGATGTCATCACTGTCAGGTACAGAGAAACGCACGCACGCTCACACACCCACACACACACACACACACACACACACACACAGGTTTGGAGGCAGGGCGTCGGATGCTGTGTGTGTCTCGAATAATTATCATTTGGGGTGGGTTCTGGCTTCAAAAGGTCCATCAGCATGTGCGTTGACATGCTGCAATCTCACTCTGCGTCGGTGAGGATGGACACGGAAAGAGAATTACCCCAAGCTTTTGTATGGCGTCTTCTTTCCTCTCAAAAACGTCTTTACAAGATGGTCCAAAAATTGCTCTTGTACGTTCCATATACAGTCAATGCTGAGGGGAGGATTGTTTTTTTGGACCACCCTAGTTTAGCTGCGGTGGACTTTTGAAGGCACTCGTTAAAGGAATGGGGCTCGACGCATGTGCAAATGCGTTTTTTCACATTTTCCTGTGGGAGGGGCTGCCCACGGCCATTTTGAAAAAACCCACAGAAGGCTAAAGTGGTGGCACATTAGTTTCAATGGCGGAGATAGGCGTGACAGGTATGATAAATATATGTATATATACATTTCTCACAGCATATCTGTGTCCACAGGTGCAGCGTTGGATGCCTCTCTCGCCGCGTTGGACTCGTTCGTTTTCCCACGCTCTGCTCTCTCCGTACAGATCAGCACTTGCAGACAGGGTTTACCCGTTCAGCCAATCAGGGGCCAGCAAAAACCTCTTGAGGCAATGGGAGTAATTCCCTGCGGTGAGGGGCGGGTCCAAGTGTTCAGTGACCTGAGGAGGCGGGGCTTCTGCCTCACTTCAGGAGGAAAGTTTGGAGCCGACTTCCTAGTTTATCCAGGTGAGTGATGTCATTGTGATATCATAGTTTATTTAGATGAGTGAACAGAGGACAATGTTTGTAGTTGTAGCACTAGTGTGTAGCTGTCGTAACCATGTGTATCTCTAGTAACAGTGTTTATCTGTAGTAACATTGTGTGGAGCTGTTGTAACATTGTGTGTAGCTGTAGTAACAGTGTGTGTAGCTGTAGTAACGGTGTGTGTAGCTGTAGTAACAGTGTATGTCTACCAGGTGACCCTCTCCGGTTCCATGCCCACTTCATGGCGGTGTGTGTCCAGCAGGGGGAGCCCCTCTCTCTTCGGGACGTTCTGTCCTGGATCCGACTCTCGTCAAACGTGAAGAAGACTCTGCTGCTGTGCTCCCAGTGTCCTGAGGGGGGCATACTGTATAGCTCCCTGCAGTGGAGCAGCATGAGCTGAGGGGGTGCCGCCGAGTCATGTGATATCACTGTGACGTCACTGTGTCTCGTATCTTCCCCATGTCTCTTCCTGGGTCTTACCTATGGAGGACCAAAAATGACTAAAGTATAAATAAATAAATAAATAAATAAATACAGGAATATATTAATAAATACATTCATTTTGGACTATCACTTTGGATAAAAACTAAATATTTACATTGATGTGTTAAATATTACTATGAAATCAAATAAATATACTTTTTATTTAGGTTATTTATCAATATCTACATTTTTTTCCTTTATTTATTTATCCATTTATTGCATATATTTATTTATGTATTTCTACATTTATTTATTTATGTATTTCTACATTTCTTCATTTATTTATTTATGTATTTCTACATTTCTTCATTTATTTATGTATGTATTTCTGTGTCGCTACATTTCTTCATTTATTTATTTATGTATTTCTACATTTCTTCATTTATTTATTTATGTATTTCTACATTTCTTCATTTATCTATTTATGTATTTCTACATTTCTTCATTTATTTATTTATGTATTTCTGTGTTGCCGTATGCTAATTAGGCGGGCGGTGCTGAACTCAATCAATAGCAGGATTGGTGGGCAGTAGGTCAGCCAGGGCAACCAGACAGAAGCAAAGTTAAGCCTTCTCGGTTTGTGAGAGGATGTGAAGCTGCTGTATAGCTTGTTGAAGAGCGTCCGGCACAGTTGCATCAAAGTCTACCTCTGGGTCAGCACTGTGATGAACTAAAACATTTAATAGTCTGTCCAGCCGAAAGAGTAGATAGTCCTCAGGTGCATTATGCTCAACATCATTAACATCATTTGCTAATGCTCTTAATTGATGAGCAACGGCTCCTAAAAAACTTACATTCGAAACTGCCATCATACCACACAAAAGTGCACAGAGGATCTCTAGCTAGCTAACAGAGTACCGTAATGTGAGGCAGTAATGATCGAGACCAGAGTTCACGCAATCCTAACCAATCCTGTTCTAGATTGAGTTCAGCACCGCCCACCTAATTAGCATACAGGAACACAAAAATACATAAATAAATAAATGAAGAAATGTAGCGACACAGAAATACATAAATAAATAAATGAAGAAATGTAGAAATACATAAATAAATAAATGAAGAAATGTAGAAATACATAAATAAATAAATGAAGAAATGTAGAAATACATAAATAAATATATGCAATAAATGGATAAATAAAGGAAAAAATGTAGATATTGATAAATAACCTAAATAAAAGTATATTTATTTGATTTCAGAGTAATATTTAGCATATCAATGTAAATATTTAGTTTTTATTGTCCAAAATGAATGTATTTATTAATATATTCCTGTATTTATTTATTTATTTATTTATACTTTAGTCATTTTTGGTCCTCCATACTTACTATGTGTGTCATTAATATTCACAGTAATGTCATGTTAGGTCTCTCCCCTGTCTCATGTCTCAACTGTGTCTCCTCTATGTCTCCCCTTGTGTCGCGTGTCTCCCGCGTGTCTCCCCCCATGTCTCATGTGTCCTTTGTGTACATTTATTTAAATGAAAGTGATTATTATGCATTGTAATCATTACTTTGTTCTGGTAAACTACTTCTGTAGTAGGCCCTGGGGCACACACACACAGGGCTTGCCTCACCTCGGTTAGGGCCTCTGGTCTTACAGCGTTCTCCCATCACCGCACTAATTGGGCCCTGATCTGCTGAGCTTTCAGCAGTCTCCCATCACTGCACTAACCAGGGCCTGATTTACTGAGCGTCACGTGCATGTGTTTACGGAAATGGACTGCACCACGAGTCTGGCCAAGTATAATTTGTAGTCCTTATAACTTATATTTTCTAATACTCTACAATTCACACTGTTATTATATAATAAAGTTGTTTATTTCAAACTCGTGTAAAACAGTGAAGTTAGTGTTTTCTCTTCCAATGACGTCACACTTAGGCGACACGGCACAGGATGGAGGCGAAGGTCTATGGAGGAAACGCTAAACAGTGTTTTGATCTGAATTAAAGCTTCCAAAGGGACAGCGGGCCTCCCCCAGCTGGCTTCACCCATGTTCTCTGCGGGAAAATGGGCCCTAAACCCGGATCTACACCCGAGGATCCAGGCGGCGCTGCAGAGAGGTGAAGCCCCAGACTGCGCTCGTAATGTGCCTTTTTTAATTCAGAAGTGTCATAAAAACAATGCGAAATTATCGAGTAATATTAGAAGTATGTTTCAGAGCTTTAAACACATACGAGTGTGATTCGGCCTAACAGTAACTCTGTCAGAGGAGGACATATTCAAGTTTATCTCAGTTTTCTACAATAAAACCAGACAGAGCCGTCATTGGAAAGGCGTTAGTTCAGACCCTTCACACCCGCAGGTTCTAAACGGAGTCTGGGTTCGCTTCAAGTGTAGACCAGATTATACTGTGCAGAATATACTGCATATTATTCTTCAGATTATACTGGGTAGTCGGATGGTGTGAAACAGGGCAGTATATTGCCTCCCTGGGTTTTAAATGTGTATATGGACGATCTTTGTGTTTGAATCGGTGGGGTCTGTTCTTATTCTGTTTGAATCTGAGTTTGATATGAAATATCAAATAAATATAAACAAATATAACAACCACTAGACAAGAGTAACATGTTTGTCCGGAGACGGGAGGACTCATCATGGCCCTCACTGCGCAGAGAACTACACACCTCTGAAGTTTGGGTTAGTCATCCACAGAAAGGACTCTGGTCCTTTGAAATAGTTAATGGGTACAAAGCACAAAGACATTCATCTGTCTGACTGGAGATTTAGAAGAGGTTCATGTCTCTGTCTCAGGGTGTGTGTCTCAGAGGTCCTGAGTCCAGAGGAGGTGTATGTCTCTGTGTCTGTCTCCTTTTTATTAAGTAAGTCATCTTTTCAAAGCTTGTAACGTGGGGTGGAAGTCTTCAGGTAAAAAGCCTTTGGCAATGCAACTCAGAAAGAGGGAAAAAGACCCGTTGAGCTCCCCCTTCATTTACAGAACAATGCCAGGTCTTTATATAATGCCATGACAGCTGTTTCACCCGTACCACTTGTTACGTGAGTTAGAGAGGAAGAGATGCGAGTGCCTCTGCCAACATCATAACATCGTTTGCATACAGTATATGAGCAAATGGCGCCCTCCAGTGGCGCAATATGATGCTAAAACATTAAGTAACCGTTACAATCTTCACAGACCAGACTCACAAAGTGCTTTACAGTTGTGGGCATTTGTCTCTCACTCCACAGAGTGATTGGAGCAAGCTCACCTACAGGAGGCACATGCCAGACCAATTGTATACGTATTTTAGTGGAAGGGGAGCCCGGAGCACCAGGAGGAAGTCCAGAGGAGATTCATGTCTGTCTCTGTGTGCATCTCTGTGTGTGTCTTAGTGTCCCTGAGTCCAGAGGAGGTCCTGGCTCTTCCTTCGCTCCTCGTACAAAAAGCCACAGGTTTGAGTAGAGACGACGAACAGAAACTGAGACTGAAGACACAGTCCCGGACCACGGTAACACAAGGTACAGACACACACGCACACATACAGGCACACAGAGACAGACACACTGAGGCTACTGTTTTTAGCCTACTTCATTGACTTCTCTCCCCCTGTAGCCTCCCGCCTCACCCCCTCCCCCTCTGTGAGCTGGGGCTGTCCCTTCCTGGACCAGAGACTGGGAGGAGGGCTGCCTGTAGGGGGCATCACTGAGTTGTTTGGACACAGTGCAGCAGGAAAGACTCAACTAGCCCTACAGCTGTGTCTGAGTGTGCAGTATCCACCGCAGTATGGAGGACTGGCCTCAGGTAGGAGACCAAATCACCAGTGTTTAAACACATCGCCCCAGTGTTTTAATCTTTCTGTCCCTGCAGGAGCGGTCTTCATTTGTACTGAAGACCCATTTCCTTCCAAACGGCTGCAGCAGCTGATCTCAGAACAGTCGAGTCTTCGGCCTCAGGTTCCTCTGAGTCTGACGCAGCAGAACTTCAGTGACCGAGTCTACGTGGAGCACACTGCTGACCTGGTACCAGGGTCCTGGGGGGTCAGGGTCCTGAGAGGTCAGAGGTCCGGTCCCCTCCAGACCACTCCCTCCTCAGCCCTCTCTGATTGGCTCTTTCTCTCTCTCCTCTGCCCTCTCTGATTGGCTCTCTCACTCTCCTCAGCCCTCTCTGATTGGCTGTCTGTCTCGCCGTGTCCCTGTCCTCGTCTCTCGTGGACTTGTGCGCCTTCTTGTGGTGGACTCCATTGCTGCTCTTTTTCGCACCGAATTCGAGGCGTCTGATTGGCTGAACAGACACCATCAGCTATTGGCTGTTTCCTCTGAGCTGCAGCGAATCAGCCGCCAGCTTCATACCGCAGTGCTCTGCATCAACCAGGTACCAACGAGCTCACCCCTGACATCTGACTCCTGACCTCTGACTCCTGACCTCTGACTCCTGACCTCTGACTCCTGACTAGAGATGTCCAATAATATCAGCCCACCGATATTATCGGGCCGATTTTAGCATAAAAATTTAATATCTGTTCATATCGGTATCGGATTTTCTTTGCCTTAAAACCGATAAGATAATGCTTGCGTGTGCCTGTGCGCTCCTGAAGCGTTTACCGGCGCACAGATGATGACGTCATCAAGCTGCGTCTTGAAGCGTACAAACAAGCCATGGATCTTTTAGAAACAAGCGCGTATGGCTGCAGTAACAAACTTACTTCTTATTTTGCACAGACATTTTGCCTCTCTCTTCCAAGACGACAGAGCTACAACGCTTTAAATAGGACTCGAGAGGAGATGGTCACATCAGCGGTGAAATAAGTACAGGTGTAAAACATGCATTTGGTACCCCACGCTCCAGCGCGATCCCCACACAATAATCAAAATGAACATTCACTAACAACAGTGGTCCCTGTGATCAAAGCGCTCCCGTGCTCTCAATATTTGAAAACAAAAAAAGTCTGTCAGCGGTGGAGTTCTACTCACGGCCCCCGCGCATGCACCACGGTCCACCAAAACGTGTCCCGGAGCCCAGCAGCGACCATGGAGTATTTATCCACAGTCTCGTTAAATCCACAGTGATAATCCAAAACGAAATAACTTGAAAAGTGATTATAATCTGCAGAAAACGGGTCCTCCAGGTAAATATGCTCCAAGTCGGCATCTGACGTCAGACCATGCACGCCTGCAAAACGCCATCAATAGACAATTTTATAATACTAATTGACAACAAATGTATAGTGCCTTGCGAAAGTATTTCGCCACATTTCAGTCTTCAAACATAAAGATATAAAATTGTAATTTTTTAACAAATAAAAAACTGAAAAGTGGGGCGTGCAATATTATGCGGCCCCTTTACTTTCAGTGCAGCAAACTCACTCCAGAAGTTCAGTGAGGATCTTTGAATGATCCAATGTTGTCCTAAATGACTGATGATGATAAATAGAATGCACCTGTGTGTAATCAAGTCTCCGTATAAATGCACCTGCTCTTTGATAGTCTCAGGGTTCTGTTTAAAGCGCAGAGAGAACCATGAAGACAAAGGAACACACCAGGCAGGTCCGAGATACTGTTGTGGAGAAGTTTAAAGCCGGATTTGGATACAAAAAGATTTCCCAAGCTTTAAACATCTCAAGGAGCACTGTGCAAGCAATTATATTGAAATGGAAGGCGTATCAGACCACTGCAAATCTACCAAGACCCGGCCGTCCCTCCAAACTTTCATCTCAAACAAGGAGAAGACTGATCAGAGATGCAGCCAAGAGGCCCATGATCACTCTGGATGAACTGCAGATAACTACAGCTGAGGTGGGAGAGTCTGTCCATAGGACAACAATCAGTCGTGCACTGCACAAATCTGGCCTTTATGGAAGAGTGGCAAGAAGAAAGCCATTTCTCAAAGATATCCATAAAAGTCTCGTTTAAAGTTTGCCACAAGCCACCTGGGAGACACACCAAACATGTGGAAGAAGGTGCTCTGGTCAGATGAAACCAAAATCGAACTTGTTGGCCACAATGCAAAACGATATGTTTGGCGTAAAAGCAACACAGCTCATCACCCTGAACACACCATCCCCACTGTCAAACATGGTGGTGGCAGCATCATGGTTTGGGTCTGCTTTTCTTCAGCAGGGACAGGGAAGATGGCTAAAATTGATGGGAAGATGGATGGAGCCAAATACAGAACCATTCTGGAAGAAAACCTGTTGGAGTCTGCAAAAGACCTGAGACTGGGACGGAGATTTATCTTCCAACAGGACAATGATCCAAAACATAAAGCCAAATCTACAATGGAATGGTTCACAAATAGACGTATCCAGGTGTTAGAATGGCCAAGTCAAAGTCCAGACCTGAATCAAATCGAGAATCTGTAGAAGCTGAAGACTGCTGTTCACAAACGCTCTCCATCCAACCTCACTGAGCTCGAGCTGTTTTGCAAGGAAGAATGGGAAAGAATTCCAGTCTCTCGATATGCAAAACTGATAGAGACATACCCCAAGCGACTTGCAGCTGTAATTGCAGCAAAAGGTGGCGCTACAAAGTATTAGCGCAAGGGGGCCGAATAATATTGCACGCCCCACTTTTCAGTTTTTTATTTGTTAAAAAAGTTTAAATTATCCAATAAATTTCGTTCCACTTCACGATTGTGTCCCACTTGTTGTTGATTCTTGACAAAAAATGTAATTTTTATATCTTTATGTTTGAAGCCTGAAATGTGGCGAAATGTTGATGCAAGTTTATTTATATAGCACAATTCATACACAAGGCAATTCAAAGTTCTGAACAAAATAAGAAAGCATTAAAATTATAAATAATCACAGAACATTAAAAAGAAAGATAAAAATATAAAATCCCTCAGTTGTATGCACAGCTAAACAGAACTGTTTTTAAAAGAGGAGGCCTGTCTCACATCTTCAGGAAGACTGTTCCAGATTTTAGCAGCATGAATCTGAAAAGCAGCCTCCCCATGTTTAGTTCTGACTCTGGGCACTAACAGGAGTCCAGTCCCTGTGCTCCTCAGAGTCCGGGCTGGTTCATATGGGACTAACATGTCACTAATATATTTTGGTGCGAGGCCATGGAGAGACTTGTACACAAGCAGAGCTGTTTTAAAGTCTATTCTCTGAGCCACAGGAAGCCAGTGCAGAGACCTGAGAACCGGACTAATATGGTCGTACTTCCTGGTTCTAGTCAGGACTCGAGCTGCTGCATTTTGAATGTACTGCAGCTGTTTTACAGCCTGTTTGGACAGACCTGTGAGCAGGCCATTGCCGTAGTCTAACCTGCTGGAGACAAATGCATGGATAAGAATCTCCAAGTCTGCTTTAGACACTGTTTTTGATCCTGGCGATGTTTTTTAGATGGTAAAAAGCTGCTGATGTTACTGATTTGATGTGGCTATTAAAATTTAAGTCTGAGTTCAGTATTACCCCTAGATTTCTGACCTTGTTTGAAGGTTTTAGGGAGAGAGACTGTAGGTGACAGATGACGCTCTCTCTTTGTTTCTGGGGACCAAAGATAATCATTTCAGTTTTGTCTGCGTTTAGCTGAAGGAAGTTGTTTTGCATCCACTCACTGATCTGTTGGATACAGTGAAGGAGTGAGTCCACTGGTCCATGTTCTCCTGCAGTCAGTGAGACATGTGATAGGACACTTTGTTTCTGCCGGACTGAAACATATCAAATGAGTTGTTGATTATAAGAAATCTAGTAAGCTGTAGGTAGACTACTTTCTCAAGGACTTTCCCCATAAATGGCAGATTTGAGATGGGACGATAGTTGTTAAGTACTGTAGCATCCAGACTGCTCTTTTTTAAAAGGGGCCTGATAACTGCAGTTTTCAGGGCCTTTGGGAATATTCCAGAATGAAGGGACATGTTTACTATCTTGTGGGTAGTACATCCAGGCTGCATGTGGAGGAGCTCAGACTGGAGATTATCTCGTGGACATTTTTATCATCTTCAGGTGCAAAGTGAGTTAGCTTGCAGAGCCTTTCTGGCTGTTGGATTGTTATCTGTGAACCTTGTCATTGAAAAAATGTGCAAACTCATTACATTGCGTTTGGAAGTAAGCTCTAATGGAAGCTGAACAGGGGGGTTTGTTAATCTATTAACTGTTGAGAACAGAACACGCAGATTGTTACTGCAGCCTTCAATCATTTCAGAAAAATAGTTTTCTCTCGTACTACGTAGCACCCGGTTAAACTCGCACAACTTATCTTTGAAGATCTCGTAATCAACCTGGAGGTTGGACTTGCGCCACTTCCGCTTGGCCCTCCGGTACTTTCTCTTCAGTGCTCTGACCGAGTCTGCTTTAGCCCACGCCGCCTTCTGCTTATTTTTCACTATTATAACCTTCACAGGGGCAACGGTATCCAGAACATTCAAAACACTAGAGGTGACAGAGTTAAACAGTTCATCTACAGTAGAACACGATGCATTCTCAAAGTTTATCATTCCCACAAATAGATTACTCGTATTTTCATTTATGCACCTTCTTCGAACAGTTGCAGAGTCCACTGGTGGTTTGTTAGTGAAACACATGTCAAAAAAAAAACACAGAAATTATACGAAAGAGCAACATCGACCACGTTTACATTTGAAATATTCACCCCCTTAGTAACTAACAGATCTAGAGTGTGCCCTCTGCTGTGGGTGGGGCCACTCACGTGCTGAGTGAGACAAAGGATTCAAGTACAGAACTCTGCTCATTTGCATTTCTGTCATCAACATTATCCACATGAATATTAAAATCACCTGTAATAACCAAACTATCAAAATCTGTGCATACAACTGAAAGCAACTCGGTAAAGTTATCAATAAAACTGTGACATGACTGCGGTGGCTTGTATAGGACAATGAAGAGTCTTGGAGGAGATTGTTTTTGTTGTATTTTAAAAGACACATATTCAAATGACGGAAACTTCCCAAGAGACATTCTATGGGAGACAAAGTGGTCTCTAAAAATGGCAGCTAAGCCTCCTCCTTTTTTGTTTTCCCGTATTTCAGATTCAAATTTGAAATTTGGCGGTGATGCTTCTATTAAAACTGCCTTTCCTGAATTTTGGTCAAGCCAAGTTTCAGCCATGAACATAAGATCAAGATTATGAGAACAAATAAAATTATTGATTAAAAAAGACTTGTTACAAAGAGCTCTGACATTAAGCATAGCAAGTTTCAAAGTTTCCGTATCAGCGGTTGTGGTCGGCTGATTCTTACACGGAACAAGAATTAGATTTTCCAGATTAGACTGATTAACTCCAGATGTCTTTCTGTAATGTATTCTTTGTGTTATCACTAAGTACCCCGACTTCAAATCTAATACGGAGAACCATTTTGATCCGGACAGTGCAGTGAAAGTGTCCTCGAGCTTGGGCAAAGGGTATGCA